ATTTGGCGAAGCCTTCATGCACATTCATGGAAATTCCTGAAACTGTCAATAACTGACATTCAACAATTTTCCGAGAACTGCGGCAATGAATGATAAGCGCCAACCATCTGAAATTCCAATGGGATATTATATCGGATCAAAAAACACATTAATGAATTAATGAATGAATTAATTAATTAACTAATTAATTGGTTAATTTAATTCATGACTTGATGAATTTTGAAAAATATAAAAGATAAATAAAAATATAGATGTATCAATATATTGAAATATTTATATATTCATATATTCATATATTCATATGTTTATATATGTATATATTCATATATTTATATATTTATATATTTATATATTTATATATTTATATTTTTGTATATTTAGATATTTATCTATTTATATATTAAGATATTTATATATTTAGATATTTATCTATTTATATATTTATATTTATATATATATATATATTTATATATTTATATATTTATATATTCATATATTTATATATTTATATATTTATATATTTTTATATTTACATACTTATATATTTATATGTTGATATGTTTATAAATTTAAATTGTTATAAATAAATATATATATATATTGAAATATTTTTGTATTTATATGTTGATATGTTTATTTATTTAAATATATATATATATTTATATATATATTTATATTTATAGATTTATACGTTGATATGTTTATTTATTTATATGTTTATATATTCAAATATTTATATATTTATACATTTATAGATTTATATGTTGATATGTTTATATATCTATATGTTTATATATTCATTTTTTTTATATTTGTATATTTATATATATTATTTATATTTTCATATATTTATAGATTAATATTGATATATTTATATGAAAAAATATATATTTATATAATTGTATATTTATATATATCTCAATGTTTTTATATGTTTTTATATTCAGACATTTATATGTTTATATATTCATATATTGATATTTATGTATGTACATGTATGTATATATATATATATATGTATATTTAAATACTTATACATGTTTATTTTTAAACATTAATATATTTATATTTTTATATATTTATATATTTGGGTATTTGCATATTTATATATTTATAAAAGTGAAAATAAATTGATTTAATACAATATATATATATAAGTATATATCTGACGGTCATGAGAGGTCTATAGCATTATGCCATTCACCCAGTACCCGAAGTTACCTCGTAGCGTGGAAAGGGAGACGGTTAAAATATCCTGCGCCGAAAAAGGCCCAAAATTCACATCAGTGCCCGGGTTCCTCGGAGCTCTGCGGCAGAGGGTCGTCACTTTCGTATCTGGTCATTCCCAAGGTTGACAGAGAGGCATGGCATGGTATGGCCGCAGGTGGACATTTTGCACCCAATAAACCCAACTTAAGGGACATATGATGAATTCATTGGATGTACTGCGTCCATACGCATCCACTTGCAAGCTTTTGGGCCATGTTTCACATGCAACCACACATTGGGAGATCATAAGAGAAACAAAGTCCTGAAATGGTCGTTCCAGGCCCGGATGATCACGGTTTGCAACCATCATGCCACGTCATTCAATGCGTTGCAATGGTGTCAGACATGATGTGTTGAAATGCTGGAGCTAAAATACAATGATTTGGCATGATTTGGCCTTCTTTCCCGCAATCTCATTCCCAGCTGCAGCCCCTAAACAAGGTAGACATTGGGTAAAACTCTGAACACCTTGTGCGCAACTTGTTGAGACAGAGGAAGGGGGATTCGTTGAGACGGAGGCATGGAGAAACGGAAACCACCCGCATGTTGTAGTGCCAGCAAAGTGGTGCATGAGACTTGGCAGAGTGAGTTTGTCAGTCTCAAGTTCCTGCCCGGAAGGGGCACCCTATTTTTTTTTCTGAGAGCCCTTCAAAAGTCAAAATACCAAGTCGCCCGGCATGCTGTGGACCACCGGAAACAAAATCCACCCCCTTTTCGCGCCTCAGCGCTGCCGCGCCTTGCAACAATGCAGCAAAGAGCGGTGGTGGCGGGCCTTCGTCGGCTAAAGCCTGCCGCAAGTTTTGCCCACGGCCGCTGGAAAGCATGGTGTGCTTTATCAAGGTATCTTTTGGTCTTTCGATCACGTTGCCGCCTGTTTCGGGGGATGGCGCCACTTGCTAAATGACCGCCCTCCGGTTGAAATAGCCATTTTCTTCTTCCCAATTTGCCTTGGGTGCGGCAAAGCATGCATGCAGGCCGCCCTGTTGAAACCAAAAAAAAATGGGAGTTGCTCGGTTGACCATGTCGGGCGGCAAAATTCCACAGATCTCGCAAAGCATAAAAAATGTCATGCGCGACCCGGCGTCATGACTTGGCCATCATCACGGTCCGCACCAGAATCAAACCCAAACCAGAATAGATCTGCATTTTTTTGCAAGTTGATATTTTTTTCTGCCCACGTTTTACGCCTCCAGAAGATAGATTAAGTCCTTCCACTTTGTGGGGGTCAAAAGAGGTACTCTTGCAAGTCATGGAACGAGGAGCTGCAAATGCTTTACAACAGGACTCAAAATTTCAACAAGCTGAAGAGAGCACCTCATGGTCAGGTTCACCAAATCAAAACAGCAACTTAAGCCTTATGTGAACATGTGCTAAGTAATAATATGTTTGAGATACTTGTGTGTGTGTGCCTGTACATGTTTGTGCCCACATAGGCAGAGTTCCCCTGGTTCATCCCTTGATACTTTTTTGGTTGATAGGCGTTCTCATGTCATGGGTTTGCCCACAATCTGCCATAAACCAGCCTACAATAACTCATCAACCGGCCACATCAATGATATCTCAATTCTTGCCGTAACCCCCACCTCTTAAATAACCTTTTTTAATTACCCCCACCCTCCAAACAGGAATTTTCTGGCCAGGACTGCGAAGGCACCTGGAAGAAACAAAATAAGGACATTCAACCTGCCATTACCAAATACAAACGGAACATCACAAATTTTCGAGGACATGAATTTTGACCCTGAGCATTGGTGGCATCATATGACACATCCCGGCTGGGTAATACATGGGTATGGTGCAAAGTTAAAGCTCACAAGACCCCGCAGAATTCACCAAGGGTTGTATTGACTTTGCTCAGGGAGACCGCCAAACTCGCGAATCTTTAATTTTTGAAATGTCCCGTTTTCCGCTGTTTTCGGCAGTACATCTGTCCTGTCCCCATCATGCGTCAGTTCTGAATCTTCGATTGATATGGATGGTGTTCACATGTGTTCTCTGGATAGTTCTGTACCAACCCTCAACTAATTTCTGAACTGAGGAAGCCATGGATCAAATAAAGATATGTAGCATCCCACATCACTTATGCTACACATGTGGTTATTCTTCAAAACACTTTGTAGATCCGCAAGAATGAACGGCATTTAGTCTCTTTGATACCAATCTCCTCACTTCCCTATCGGCCAAATCCTAAGATTTGATGAGAAGAACATCACCCAACCTAATTCGACCCTAGGTTTCACCATATTTCAAGAGGGAAGGCATATTTTATTCCAATTTCACCTACCACTGATAAGGCTAAGTCGGCTAAGTTACCCAGCAGAACTGGCAAACCGTTGGGATGACAGCGGCCATGCCCGGCTGCAGTGCAAATGCCAGCGGTTTTTCACCGTTTTTACAAGCAGGAGACCGAACATGATGACCCTAGTAACCATCAACTGTACACCACGATTTATTCTTTATACCAAGTATCCCGAGTAGTCTTGATCGTAGTTGGCTATAGTGAATAAACCAACTATCCAGCATAATATCATAAAACATAATACCATTAGTATATCATATTATATCGCATTGTATCATACTATAGCATATCATAGTCTATCATATCCATATCATATATATATATATATATTCTGGCATCATCTGGCATCACTTCGTGACTTCCAGAGACTGCTTCTCTCTTGTCAGCTTTTTTATATCCTTAGTTAATATCCTTAGTACAAGTGCAAAGAAAATTTTCATCAGAACTCCCCAAAATCAGCATTGATGGCATCACCAATCCACCGCGCCGCCCGCGCCTGCGGGTTCAATCGAGCAGAGGTCACCAATTCGGCACAGGCGCCACGCAGCAGAGCCAGGGCACCTGTGGAGTCCATGCCTCACCAGAAATATGGCTAATATGCCATCGATGGAAGTAGTGAGCTGAGTAGTATATTACCCATATTTCTGGTGTTATATTTGGTTACTTAATATGGGTATATATATATAGTAGTATATTACCCAATCCAAATTGGAGGCTTTATGTTTGGGTTTATCACACCAAAAAAAATCCCCTGTTGCAAATGTAGTTTCATGTGTGGGTTAACGATGGGTTGACTCGGCTCCAAGATATTACCAAACTCCTCCTGACGGTGGCAGGAAATTTTTAGGTGGCGTAAATGTGGTCAGTGAACCTTCCAAGCTGGATGATTTAACAGAACAAATGACCAATCAATCCTGTGGCTGCATGTGGCTGCATTTGAATCCTGATGTTCGCTGAGCTTAGCGATCGGTGGCTAGGAAGTGACACATGGAATCAATGTAGGCAATGCATTGACATCTATGGGTCATTGTATACATATCATATACATATATATATATCACATACATATCACACACATATCATATACATGTTGTATACATAGTTTATCATATTATATCCGTACACATGCATTGTTAACTCACCATCCCTCCATCCCTGGCCATCCCTGGCCTCGCATGGAGGGCGACTCCTGTGGAGAAATGTGGTTACCATGTTTGCTGCATCAAAATCACATAGCAAACACCACGAACCCCAGAAGTAAACTACCATGATTCAGCCATGATGATCATACAATCTCCTGACATTTGCTATAGTATATATGGTGTATATATTTCATGATATTACATATATATAATTATATATATATATGTACAAATATTTAACTATTCTTTCACTTCATGCAGCATTGAAAAAATAGGCCAGCACGATCTCCTCAGTTCCAACGGCCAAAGTGCCACACTTCTCCACGTGGCTTATTAGCCATGGCGCAGGCCGCATTTTTACCACACATGCCTCGTCCGGAAACCGAAGCTGGGATCATCCCTGTGGTGGATAGCCATGGTGCACGATTGCAACGAGTTTTATCACATTTTTTTTGTCCCGTAATCGTGACAATTGAACATCAGTTACTTTGATGATGTTTTCCAGCTATAAACCAGTTATAAACCTCCATTCATCAAAGTTTTTTAAGGATATTTTCCAGCCACCTTTGATGTCAGCCCCGGGATGTGTCGCCGCCTCGTCCCAGAAGGACGGTGATTCAAAGAGTTCCTGGCCCAACGCAGCAGAAGGATTCAAAGGATGTGGAAGTTTTATCTAACATTTGTCAAATGAAAAAAAACAAGTGGTGTGACATACCAAGAATATATATAGATTATGGAATTTCGGCATGTTCTAACGCAAAAGCAACAAAGTGGTCGTCGACATCATGAAGCGTACCTCCACTTTCAAAGCACCTCAATCTCTTCTTCCTTTACCAAGTGAATCATCAATCCTTTTGGCTATGAACCCAAAATTGACAATGTCATGTCGCAGCAAGTGCTGATTGCGGAAATTCAAGCAAGGTTCTCTAAACTTAGAATTTGGACTTGATTTTCCAATTTCAGGGAAGTCGGAAAAACCCGTCTCTTCCCATGGATTTCAAGTAGCCTTGTCTGGCACACAAGGCACCAAACAGTTGGCCACTGAGCGGCACCTCGGTACGAGATCATGCCAAAGTCCCAGGGCTAAAAACGGTTCCTCGACAGTCAGAGTTAAACTGCCTCCAGTCAGAGAAATGCATAATATGTATATATATATATATGTATGATATATATATATAGATGTATGATATATATATATATATATAGATGGATAGATATACATATGTATGTATGTATGTATGTATGTATGTATGTATGTATGTATGTATGTATGTATGTATGTATGTATGTATGTATGTATGTATGTATGTATGTATGTATGTATGTATGTATGTATGTATGTATGTATGTATGTATGTATGTATGATTATGTATGTAGTATGTATGGTATGTATGTATGTATGTATGTATGTATGTATGTATGTATGTATGTAGGTCTGTATGTATGTAATGTCTTATGTCTGTCTGTCTGTCTGTCTATCTGTCTGTCTGTCTGTCTGTGTATGTATGTATGTATGTATGTATGTCTGTTTTCTAGTTGTATGTATGTATGTATGTATGTATGTATGTATGTATGTATGTATGTATGTATGTATGTATGTATGTATGTATGTATGTATGTATGTATGTATGTATGTATATGTATATCCATATATTAAATTGTTGAGGTATGCTCTACTTTGTTGACAAAGCCATGTTGACCTGCTTGGGATGATTAAAAATTAATCCCATTAGGTTGGTAAATGTGTATTCTATAGGGATCCATATGGGTTATACCACATCCAGGTGGTCATCCCGAATTTTTACCAGGTGGTCAGGTCCATAACCCCCAGGCACATGGGGCAGCCGAATTCTCCACCCTCGATGTTGTAGAAGGAGAAGCGCCGCAACGCTGCTGCCTGCGGCGGGTGCCAAGCTTCGAAGTAAGTACCGGAATTTACAGCCGGCCGCGTCGAATCGACACTATGGGCTGGAGGGGAAAAAATATTTATATGTGAGATTATGTGAGATTGTATATGAGATTATGATAAGTATAAGCGTCTATTATTATTGTTATTATTATTATTGTTATTATTATTATACGGTATACACATGTAAGACAAGCATGTTGATCATGTTGATTTGATGGCAATGATGGCAATGAATTTGCTGCTGGGTAAGGACACAACCATCCCAAGCAGAGGGGTTCCAATGGCGAGTGAAGGGGCCAGCACTACAGGGCTACTTTCGTGAAGTAAGTTGGATTCAGTTGGTATGATACCCCCAATGTAAAAAACCACATATTCATCAATATCTCTGTTTGGCTGTGAATTAGATTCAATTCAAGCAGAATCTGTTCTCATCCATCAACTTTCACAATCGTTTGTTTACCATATTTTTTACCCAGTGTTTCACAAATTTACCATAGTTTACCATAGTCAATTCGTTTGATTATGGGAACATCTATGTTAAACTGTGGTAAACTGGGATATCTGGTAAACTATGTTGAACTATGGTTTACCATCAGTTTTTCCATAGGAACATCGTTTGGATATCTGGGTTTCCTATGGTTTCCAGATGGGTTTCCCATCGTGGGAAGCCTTGGAACCATGGCCTGGCTCTGTCCGTCCAGGGCATGTCGCTGTCCACAGCTGATGTGCACCATGTGTCGGCAGGAGGTGAAGCGACGGAAGCCTCCGAGGATTCGTGGATGTTCGTTGGGAAAACCATGGGAAAACCATGGGAAAACCATGGCCATGGGACATCTGGATTATTCACAGGAAAAACATTGTAAATCTATGTAAATCTTCCTTAAAAGCAATGGAAGTATTGCCCGGCCATTTGGACAGGGCTCAATTTTTTGGGGCACCAGAGGGGCTGCACAAGCCCATCCAATCATTGGATTGGTTTCTTGGGGAAAATCTACAGGAAACCATGGTTTTTTACCATGAAATATGGGGTTTTCCTGTAAAATGTTCCCTTAAACCAACCCAGTGATCCAAAGATGCTAAAGAGCAGTTTTTGGATCCAGCTGCCAATACTTGCAGAATCATCATTCCATGAGGTGTTGGGTCCAAGTTCACCACGGACAGGGGGCTTTGCCCCTCAGAAGTCATCGTTGTAAAATGGGGCATTCGGCAACAAAACCACGTGGGATACGGCCCAAAACCATGTGGATCATATCTATCTGTCTGTCTATCCATCCATCTATCCATGTATCTGCCTTTCTATCTACCTATCTAGATACCTGTCTGTCTATCGATCTATCTATCCATCCATCCGTCTACCTATCTGATAGAATTGTAAAGATGTATATACATATAGAATATAATATAATATAATATAACATAATATAATATAATATAACATAATATAATATAATATAACATAGTATAATATAACATAATATAATATAGTATAATATAACATAGTATAATATAACATAATATAATATAATATAACATAATTTAATATAATATAACATAATTTAATATAACATAATTTAATATAATATAGCATAATATAACATAATATAATATACAAATCATGAACAAAACTGACCCGCCCAATCTGCTCCCACGGTGCGCCTGGATGACCCCCCAAATGATGCGAGCGACCACGGAATTCGCCAACCTCAAAAATGGGTCATAGACTTGTGCCATTGTTGAACCCTGCGTCAATATGCATAACAATGTATGCGTGAAATATGTATGTATATATATATATGCTATATGATACATATGACTTGTTTACACACATATTTAACATCTAAATTGCAATGTGTTGGTATCAACCGTATCAACCGTATCAAGCTGCTTGTTTCTCCCCTTTTGTGCATCGCATTTTTTGGCTCCCCAACTGCAGCCAACATGGCCAGGGGATTCTCCTGTGAGCCCGCCTGGGTCGCCATGTTACGACCATGATGACGATAGCCATGATGACTCGCCATATGATAGCCCTATGTCAGGATATTACTAGTACTACCAAATATATATACATGTAGCCATATGTCAGGTTTTTTTGCTGATATATTACTGATATACTATCAAATATACTACCTCATTTTGCGAAGCTCCCAGAGATCAGAAGGGATTGCCCCAAGAGATTTCGTTGGCTCGGGAATTCAAACACAATGTTTTCGAAGCTATTGAGGGTGCTAGTGGCAAATCAATGTTCGAAAAAAATCCTGCGAATTAGGCAAACCATAAGAACATCATCAAAATTGCTAGATCTCCGCAAATGTCTGACGTCAACAGGCCTCTACACTACATGTATTTCTTCGTCATGCCCAGTATGCAGTGGCATCCAGTCGGTATATGTGCCAACTTCAAATGCACCACCTTGGCATCATGCGGATGGACAAAAAGGATCAAATAGAATGATGTGACCCTACTTGGGACCATACTTGGCCCAAACGGTCCCTTCTGGGTCTCTTCGGGGTTCCTTGGGGAAACGCTCCACGGAAGTCCACACCTCTCTGCACGTGGCACACCTAATCCAAAACGGACGGAAAACCTTCAGCAAATCACTACGGACATTGACAGACATGAGTGGTCTGTACTTCTGTACCATTTGATGTTCCACTGCATTGATTGTAGATGGTCTGTCGCAGGCCGGGTCCCTTTCCAAACAGCGGACAACTTCTCCATTGGTGTCAGATTCCATTGTTTTTTTTGGACAAGACACTGCCAGACTTCCGAGTCCTGGGAAGTGGAGGAAAAAAGCCCCAATCTAACTACAGTAGGTAGGGTATATCTCACTCTTCACTGGGTCATTTCCCTTAGTTATAGCTATTACAAACTTACTGGGATGCACTTGCAAGATATCCAGGTATCGAAATAAAAAGTGGTCAATACCTTTGAGATAATGGGTTGATTGGACATCCATAACTGCCGCCGACTTTGGGGGAGCTAGAGAGCATTAGGTTTTTGAACATACCCAAGGTTCAAAGAAGTGTCAAAGTCAACAGGTTGCCCCCCAAGAAAATGCATCCAAAATGACTGCGAGGTGGGCCCGAAATTGATCTTTGTTGTTTCAGGTTGCGTTTTGAGATGAGGAAACAAGAAATATATTTGCCAATGATTGAATTACATGCACCTGAGTACATGCATCCATACATGGTTGAATTAAACTATGTTGAATGCATGATGTATGCATGCACTTTACATACCTTTCAGAAAGGTGACAAGTCCAAAAGTACCTGAATGTTCATGATGCTCAATCCCGGAACCACCATTCAATTCTGGTGCAACTAAAGATACTCAAGCGATCAATCCAATCATAAACCTCTTTTTTATCCTTGGTTTGGGAGTATGGTCTTTAAATATCTTCATTGCGAATCTTTTTTTGTCTCCTCGAGCTGAAAAAATTCAGCAGGTCCTCCGCAGTGGAGTCGTCCGTGTGGCCTCCAGGTGCCACACGGATGATTCCCCCATGAGATCACCGGACTAAAGGGCTTTCTTTGGGCTTTGAGATGCAGGGATTGGTAAATGTCCCATTTTGGGTATATTGGACATCACCTTATAGTAGCCATTATAGACCATATTACCTAATGGTTGGGTGATGTTCAATGGGGACATTTAATGACCCCTGAGATGGTTTGAGTTTGTTGTTTCCAATGTTTCCACTCCAAGACACCGGACTAACAGACCTCGTTTTTTCCATGGTTTTTTCATTCGGCAGTACAGATGCTACAGATGGTACAGCGCCTTCCATCCCAAGACCTTCAACGGCTTCCTTCTGCTTCTGCTGCATCCGCTGCATCATGGCCTGCTTTTGAAGCATGGAGCGGCAACCAATTGTAGCGCTGTAAGACTTACAGTAAGAACCCGAATAGTAGCAATAAGAATCCGAATAGTAACAATGACAATAATGACAACAATAATAATTATAATGACAATAATAATAGGATATAATTGGTATGAAATCCAGGGACCATCACCGTATGTTTCAGACCTGTTGGAATGCTTGGTATGCAGCAGAAAGCTATCAGGCAATCGCTCCAGAAAATCGGTGATTTCTGGCCTGCTGCCTCTGTCGCATGGCTTCCAACCGTTGCCTGGTGTGGATTTCGGTCCCAATGGGACGGAGGGGTCTAGCGGGACGAATGCGTCAAAATGGATGCATTGCCAAGCATACCTCTTCTGAAGGGTGGTTTCAAGCTCCGAAACATAGTCTGCATCATCTTTCCATATAGGGACAGAAAGAAACATACATTTGAATCCAACCAGAACTGAGTGATCGGTTGTGCAATTCCTATCGCCGTTCTTGTGTCCCCTTCATGGCAGCTTCTTTGTTGTATAGCCCATTTGTGGCCTGGAAAAAGTATCTGGGAATGTCAACTGCCAGTCTCCACAAGTGCCCCACACGCCTCCTCCGGTCTTCAGCAGATTCAGCCGGTGCTTCCGTGGGGGCATGGTCTCGCGAGCGGATCAATTTCGACAATCCCAGGTGGAGATGGAACAGTCAATTCATGTCAGAAATAGTTGAAACATGTTGAAACCAAAAACATCCACCAAATCCAATCAGAGGCAGAATCAACCACAATTGTTGGCCAATCTCAGGTGGAAACATGCACCGGGTCACACTTCCAAACTGGATCAAACGACAATGCGCATGAACAATATGTGTTTGATCTACAGACAAAACAGACCAGCTGTCCAAGATAAACAGGGCAAAAAAGTTTGGTGAGGTTCCAATGGTATCACTGGTTCAATTTCAAACCCACAAGGGAAAAGTGGGCAGATCCTTCATCTTCCGATATGGCTTTGTCCCAAAATTGGGAATGCTCCAAGTTATGGCCATTAAACCAGTAATTTTTATAACAATGGCCATGAAAATCATGGCCATAAAAGATGACCACGAAATTTTCACCAGACTTTTCCACCGGATGACCCACGAAATTTGTGCCTTGGAAGCCAAGGTTTTGCCATCGATCTCGCCTCGGAAAAGAGCTGCAACCTGGTTGCCCATATCTTTGCGTGTATGATACTATGCATTGAAATAAATATGTATATGTATATATATATATTATATTATACATGCGTATGTCTGTACATGTGTATACAATGTATCTACAGTATATCATATATGTCTATATCAAATTATATATATTCATGTATCCCATATGGAAATGTCAAAGGGAAGTGAACATTCAATGGGTACATGACCCGCTTGCCACAGGGATAAGATATGATGAGTACGGTTCAAGACCTTTTTCCCTGGTACCCTGACCCCAATTCTGAGTATTCCAGGCTGAGACATTGATCCACCCAATCTTGACTCTTCAAATCCGCTGATGTAGTTGTTCCATCAGGCAGCGCTTCCCACTAAGATGACTTCCCACTGGGTATGCCGGGCAGTCTTTGCGGCAGCATCTTGGGTTGACACAAGCGACTGAGCACCGGATTTTGTAACTGCGCCTCGGTGCAATGGATCTGGATGGATCTGGATAGAGAACCCAATGAAGAAATACCGAAACAAAAGGACCTTAGGATGGAAAAAAAAAACATAAAATATACAAAAATAAACAACATCATGGGGAGATATGAATTTTCGCAACAATCATACGAGACTATCATCGTTCGTATCATCGTTCGTATCTGGATGCCATACAGAAAAAGACCCATGGATTACGAACGAACCTTGATGGATGGCACCCAGCAACCACCAGTGGTCCTTCATAGATTTCATGGCTTCACTGGAACCACTGAAGAAACCATGGGTTTTTTTAAATGACCCCCAAAAAACCGGAGGTTTTCCTGTGGATTTGCCAAGACGCTGTCGCCATGATGTAATCATGTGTAATCGCCTTGTGAGGTTAGTGTGGTGACTTTATTTCATTTTCTATCCAGATCCAGTATGCCACCTGAAGCCACACGGTTATGATGAGATGCCAGGAACAAGAGAAATTTAAGAAGTGAAATTCGGTGAAATATCACCCACATACACCGTTAGAAGTATACGGTACTATGATATATATACATATACAATATATATAATTTTATATGATATATATATATATCACATACCACATTCATATACATCATAGTAACTTAGTACTTCAATAAATCACCGTTAGACACCCTCCATGATGACATTCCTGTGACGTGGCGGCGCCTCACCCAGGGACTCCAGCGCTTTGAGGATGGTCTCAGATGGGACAAACCCGGTAAAACCGGGTGTTGTCGAAGAAAAATACCCTCTGGTAAACTAACATAGCTATGGAAAATCACCATTTTCAATGGGAAAATCCACTATAAATCACCATTTTCAATAGCTATGTTAAATTACCAGAGGGTAAAGGCTGGAGCCCAAAGTTGGTTCTTATTTCAGAGGATCAGATTGATTAGATATGATTAGATACATTGGTTGAATCCAATATTGTCGCAGTGGAACTCCAGTTTCGGAAGTATCATGCTTCCCTGTTACTTGGCCAAAGCCATGATCGGCACGAAAATGAGGCCGGGAGTTCAACATTATTTAATTGAAACGGATGTCTTGCACTGATGGGCAACACATGGCAACACTTTCAACATGTCAGTCAATAATGTATTAAAGCTGGCGTGAAGCGTGCACAAACTTGCTGGTATTGGACAAGTGTATTTCAACGGTGAGGAAATTGATGTGTGAATCCAACGATCGATATGACTAGGCAAAATAGACTCTCCCAAACTCCAACACTGCGACTTTTTTCTTGCAGTTCTCTATGGTATGTCCCAGCATTCGGAGAACAACAACCAATAACCAACCCAGCACTGAGCATTGCCAGTTTCCCTCGAGTCATCTTGTGTTCACATACACATTCTGAGATGAAAATAGATGATATAGAGCCACTCCTTGTAACAAACTTACGTCACTTCGGGGTAGGTGACACAACGGGACACATCCCAAGAAGTCAGCGCCTTGTGTCGTGGCATGCCGGAAGCGTCATGACCTGGTGCTCTTTTGCGTGAACTCAGGGGTTTTGCCTGCGATCAATTTTCTCAATGGAATAAGCGTTCTGAGTCTTCGTTTCGATCTAAACTTGTGACAAAAAGATTTGAAGAGTGGGGTTTCGTCAGTCCTCAAAAGGGTTTAGGCAGGGAAGCATCCCTGAAGCTTGCTTCTTTGTTCTGAGTTTGGCTTGTGTTTCATGTGTTTCATGTGTTTGGACAAGTCCCGTCTTGGTAGTCCAATGCTGGGCCGGCGCCTTCTTCCACACATGCCGAGCTAGTGCCATCGTCTCCAAAGAGTCGTTCGTGTTGATCTTTTTGGGGTCGTCCTTTCCACAACAGGATGATGACTGATGAATGCCCTATTCTTAATGAAAAGTGCATGATATATAATTCAATTATATGCATTTACAACAATAACTCTAATAACTAGATACTTAATGATACTTATATATCTATGTGATATGATTTGATATTATACATAAATAAATGTATTGAGCTAATCATTGCCTTTTCCTGACCTGTATGCTGTGCCGTGTGTTTCGAAATTCTGCGAGAGTTCTGCGCCATGAATTCTGAATCCGAAACTGTGAGCCATGGGAAACTGCGACCTTTTCCGCCAATCGTCCTTTGTCGCGGTATCCTTTTCGCTTTTCAGGACCTGACGGCGGAATCATGTTGTGTGGCCAACCCCCATAGCCATGACGAACATGTTGTGTGGCCAAGTCGATCAACATTAAACACAATTAAACTCCAGAGTCTATAGTGATTCCCAACAGTGACTCCCCCAGTGGCATGGTACCTGCCATCTCAAGCTGTGGCTGTTTAGTCTCAGCGCTGGTGCCAGGTTCAAAGTGCTGAGGTTGGCTGGATGTGTTGACGTGTTTTGACCATCCGATACATTTCCGTTTCATTAGTAGTATCACCAGGAAATGAAGACTTATAGAACCAATTTCTATGGGGTTGATGGTTAAATTGTGAACGAAGATAAGTTGGTAGTACCTGGTAGTTCGTTTTAAGCCTGCAATTTATATGACAGGCACTTGGGGATGGCACACCTTCGGGAAGTTACCACTAAGGTAACTGGCGGTGAACCTGAAATGGTGGCGAACCAATGATGTTGATGGTGATATTTTGAAAGGTGAAAATTTGGCAAAAACACAACTCTTGACTTGAAGCTCCTATTGTAAAAAACTGTCATCACTATTAGTGGTGCCTTGTTTTTTATCCTTGAGAAAGCTTGGCGGAGATCCTTTTTTTGTCCTATCGTTCTGTCATAATTTGGCACCGCCAAGGTGTACCTTTGACCGCTAGTGGCAGCGACATGTCAAGGTTCAAGTGGTAGTCCCAATGAGTCAAAGAGTGACATGGCGGTCCACCCAAAGAAATGTTGTCATACTCGAGGCATAATCAGGTTTGGATGCTATGTGCCAAAAAAAGGCCTCTAAAAAAGCAAGTTACACACTCACAGCCAGTTCTAAGGAAGTATCGGAATTGTAGTGGTCAGTGACAAATGCAGTCCACAGCCAGTTCCTGCAACTCAAAAATGGCATAGTGTTCCCGGGAGGTTCCCTGTTGATTTAGGCAAAATAGGGCGATCATTTGGGGAGTGCGGCATTGTGCCATCTACAAAAACCTCATTGTGCATCGTCTTTTTCATCAACCAACCATGAATTGGTAAAATTTGCCCTAAAATGAGTGGCTCCTCTTCACCAAAAGGTTGCCAAGGCAAATCCATGGCGACTACAGCGGAAGATGGCCGCGTCTTCTGCAGTTTCAGGAAACAGAAAAATCAATCCGCAGAGGGATTGAGGGATTCCTGCGTCTCACCTGCTGTCAACTGACGATTCGCAGGTTCACCATTTCTGACATCATCCACTGGTCTGGTTCGCCTGTCACTGCTGAGGCAAACACCAAACTGGGAATGCCATCTTGGACGCATGTGTGGTGATGTGGTTCAAACCTTGATACCTTCGACCTTGGCCCATATTAGAATTCTTCGGATATTTCTATCACCCATCCTACAAATCTGGAGCTGTCAGTGTTGAAACATCTATTTTTAGCAGCCTTTCTGGCATGGCAAGTGCCCTTCTGAGTGAGACATCCTCTAGTGTGAAACTTAAAACGGAAACAACAGTGGTGATGCTGGCCAGTTTCAGTTCGGCAGCCAATGTGGTTTTCCCGTTGTTGCTCAAACTTGTGTGATGGGTGCAGGGTACATCTCATGTGAACCGAACATTAAATGCCTGCAAGCTGGGTAGCCTGACGCTTCTCTATCGGGAGAGTAAGGCAAATCTTTTGCCATCCCCATTCTTTGTGGTGCCATACGGACAAAATGGAATTGGTTCACAATCAGTTGACGTGCTCTGGTCTTTCACTTGCCAACAGCGAAACTGTGGCATCACAAGCGTCGTCGCACCACTCACAAATTGCCATTCCTGGCAAAATCCATCACTCTTGAATGTCAGGAATCTTTCATGAAGAGAGTGTATGACACACTTTCCATGTCTTGTCCGTTACATCCCCCTGTTCATGTTACACAAAGTATGTTTGTATTTTTTAGTCACTTTAGTCCTTGTCCGGTCTGTGTCTGTGCTCTCAACTCAGGCCTTGGTCTGCGGCTGCGGGTGCTGCCTGCTACACTTTTGGCTCTGGCTTAAACAGGCAATCAAACGAATGCCATTTTGCGTCTTAAAGAAAAACTAAAGGATTTGGCATCTGATTCTTGAAAACAATTGGTTCCCCTAAATTCACTTCTTTCCAAACACATTCCACATGGTTGCAGTTATGTCCAAAGATCGGGTATCCCCGCACCCAGTGTCTACATGCCAAAAGCATCCGCAACCATGAAGAAATGGTGGATTCCAGAGTTGAGACGGTTGAGAAGAGAGAAACAAAGGATTCATAGTCCATTGTGGCTGAATTGCTGATAGTCGATCCCTGTATTCACTATATTTCACTATGTAATGTCAAGCTCAGATTCATCAATCTCTTGTTCTTAATTTCTTGGGGGTGTCATTGAAGCAGCGTTTGATCACTTTTTGGGGGTGCCCCCTCAATTCATCAAGCAGGATTTATGAATTCCTGGGTGAGATTGTTTGAACTACCCCACCACAAAATCTATCTTAGATGCAAAAGAGAGACTTGGGTTGCGGCTGGTCACCATTCCTCTTGATAGCTGAAGATTGACCCATTATGACATCCATTGACCAATCAGTTTCCAGTCTCCTTTTAGCTTGTTGGCTGCAAATCATTACCCTCTGGTAATTTAACATAGCTATTGAAAATCACCATGTTTAATGGGTAAATCGACGATAAATCACCATTTTCCATAGCTATGTAAACGTTTACCAGAGGGCAATCATTGAGTTATCATCAGCGATCATCAGCAATCCACAAAGTCCATCAAAGTTCATCAAACGATCCCCAACATTTGGAGAGAAATCTCATGAAATCTCCCATTTTTTGTGTTGGAGTTGTTGGTTAATCATGGTTAATCTACCATTTCTTCAGCTGGTTTATCATGGTTTATCCCTGACTCACAACAATTCTGGCCTGGGCTCGGCTGCGACTTTGGCGATTCCTGCAAGTTAAAAAAGACGAAACTGCCATAGATTTGGTAAAGATAAAACGATACTATTTACCACGAGTGAAACGGATTGAAACGGTATCTTTGTAAGTAGGATGCTGGTGGTAAAACTGGGAGATAAATCCATTTGTAACCATCTTGTAGGGAAAGAATGTGATATACTTGAGATAATGGGATAGATATCTGCTTGCCTCAAATGGGGGATACCCAAATATGCACAAATCATATATAAATATATATAATATGGCTGCGAAAAAGTGAGGAACAACAAATTGATGAATATTTTTTTCACCATACGACTTTGTTCCAAATTATGAGACAAGCCCAACTGGTTTTTGTGTGGCAGTGACGATTTCGGATATAACAAATGAAAGTGCGACCATATTTCCTTTTGACATGCCTTGCATGAGAGATGCCCTACCTCAAAGGCCTCCCCTCTGCCTCTTTGAGCCTTCTGCCTCAACCCAACTTCGTTCGGAATGTTCAGATGCCTCGTCCCAGTTGTCAGAGTAGCCCGCTTCCGATTTGTCACCTTCCACGATCGCACGTGGCCGAAGTGCGTTGGAACCATTCGGAAGAGATGCCGAATAGTTGAATAGCTTGGAGAAGATGACTGTCAATGTCAAAGTCTGATGCAGAAACAAAAATATCAAAAATCTCCAAATTCGTTTCGTTTTCAAACGAGTTACAGTTACACAGCTGGACCGAACCGAGATACGGATGGCCTGGACCACTGGGTGATGCCGGGGAAACGCTGGAGCCACCGGCTCCAACATCTGAGGAGAGCCACTGTCTCCTGGCGCTAAAACTGCAGAGTTTCTGTTGGTGAAAACTCAAATGTTCAAAAAACAAAAGCCATCCAGTGATTTCCCATCAAATAGACAGGTCAACACGTGGAGTTCTACCATACCATTCTTACCATGTTAAAACCTCAAAACGGTAAATACATGTAAATACATGTAAATACCCAGGAACAACACAGCCAATATCTAGAAATAAATGGTTCACTTGCCACTGAAGGCAAGTTCCATTGACACCATCGGCAAGGATTTGTTCACTATGTTCACTCTTGTTTTTTCATCTCTGACGTCGCACATTTTGCCGTGTTTCCACCACGTCGCCTCTCCATTGGGTGGTCACGATCAAAGGGGCCACCGCTCATTCCATTGGAGAAGCTCGCCTCCAGCCGGATCCCTGGAATAAATTCAAGAAATGCCAGGAATGCGTTGTAAAACACTACGAATCCCTGGAATAAACCAAGGATTCACCACAAAGAAATACACGCATCCGAAGCGTTGTAGGTCGTAGGTCTGAGCTGTCTACTTTGACAACTCTGAAGGATGCAGTCGCGTTGCACCATGGGATTCCAACCGCTACAAACCGATCAGAAATCTTTTGATAAGGCATCTCTAGTGCAGTTTGTAATTTAGCTACGCAAATAGCAACGAAAGAGTTTTGGGATCTTTCAATCCATGACCGCCGCCTGCGGGTTCAGCGAAAGACCTTGGAGCGAAGGAAAGGCATTTGGGATCACTGCGTCGATTTGACAAGAAACCAAGGGTGATAGTGGGGACATGTGGGGCCTCTAGTCTTTTTTGGACAACCCAATTCACAGGTGTTTGAACATGTTTGAAATATATATAATATATTGAAAATGGGAGCTCAAGATTCAGCTCAAAGATGCATGGCTAAACATGTTCATGTTGAAATGCAAAAAAGACACGGTTTGAACACCATTCCCAGGCAGCTCTTTGAGTAGCTCAGGGTCGCACCACGTGCCGCCCGATCTGGACTCCGGACTTCTGGCGTGCGAGCGCCTCCACAACGACAAAAAAAAACGTGTGTTTTTCAGAGTTGGCCACGATGCAAAAAGATGACATAAAAGTCATAAAGCCAAAAAGGGTTCATGAATGATCATGAGTGAAGAATTCAAAGAAAATCAACATGAGAAGCAACGAACAAAATAAAAGATTCTGCCCCTTTTAGCACTGCTAAACCCCATTTGGCCGCTGCAAAGTCGGCAAAAACTCAAATTGAAGTCATAGACATAGACGACATCGAGTATACTTTCTGTTACTGTATAACAATGGATCAAAGTGCTGCTATCCTGTTTGACAAGAAATAGCTGGTAAATGGATGTTCTTGTCCCCAAATCTGCTATCATACAAAAGCATCCAAACAAACCAGGGAACCAGCACAGTGATGAAGTGCTCCGATAAAGTCCCCAACATGCGCTGTCTCTCAAACCTCTCAGAACAAGTAGCACGGCTGTGATGTGCCTGGACTACCCTGGTCGGTGACACTGGCAGTAACAGCTCCTGTAGACACAGAGAGGACAACAAAACACAATGCGGCACCAGCGTGCTTTGGCAATGAAAATCTAAACAAGAGAAGATACGGCTGTTCTGCTTTAATCACATGAAACCAATCCACCTTCTGAAAAAAATAATGGATTTTGCTGAAGAAAGCCAAAGCCGTGCCTTCCTGCGGAGAAAATAACTAAAAACTTGCTTTCACACTGAGTCAAAGATGCCTTCACTTCGTCCACCCTCTGTAGCATTGGTCCCTGCACCTGACCGAATCCAATTGAGTCAGGAAACCAAACCTGGAGTCATCTGGAGTCCTAATGAGTCCTGTCTGTAGAAGTCTCAGAAGAACTCGTTGATCTTCTTTGTTTCGGCAGTAGTTGTTACCGGGAACTATGCACCCATGTGGTTGTAAAGGTCTGAATCAACTCTGAATCTATCTACTGCAAAGGTTGCTGTCAAATATTCTCTCATAATGTTGAGAAATCTTGGATGCATCAGACGGCAAGCGCTACAATCATCAGAACCAACAAATGCTTTCTGGTGGCACAGAAGAAGGATGTGCTCTGTCTCTCAAACCTCTCAGAACAAATAGCACGGCAGTGATGTGCCTGAACTACCCTGGTCGGTGACACTGGCAGTAACAGCTCCTGTAGACACAGAGAGGACAACAAAACACAATGCGGCACCAGCGTGCTTTGGCAATGAAAATCTAAACAAGAGAAGATACGGCTGTTCTGCTTTAAAACACATGAAACCAATCCACCTTCTGAAAAAAATAATGGATTTTGCTGAAGAAAGCCAAAGCCGTGCCTTTCCGCGGAGAAAATAACTAAAAACTTGCTTTCACACTGAGTCAAAGATCCTTCACTTCGTCCACCCTCTGTAGCATTGGTCCCTGCACCTGACGAATCCAAATGAGTCAGGAAACCAAACCTGGAGTCATCTGGAGTCTTAATGAGTCCTGTCTGGAGAAGTCTCAGAAGAACCGTTGATCTTCTTTGTTTCGGCAGTAGTTGTTACCGGGAACTATGCACCCATGTGGTTGTAAAGGTCTGAATCAACTCTGAATCTATCTACTGCAAAGGTTGCTGTCAAATATTCTCTTGTCATGTTGAGAAATCTTGGATGCATCAGACGGCAAGCACTACAATCATCAGAACCAACAAATCCTTTCTGGTGGCACAGAAGAAGGATGTGCTCTGTCTCTCAAACCTCTCAGAACAAATAGCACGGCAGTGATGTGCCTGAACTACCCTGGTCGGTGACACTGGCAGTAACAGCTCCTGTAGACACAGAGAGGACAACAAAACACAATGCGGCACCAGCGTGCTTTGGCAATGAAAATCTAAACAAGAGAAGATACGGCTGTTCTGCTTTAAACACATGAAACCAATCCACCTTCTGAAAAAAATAATGGATTTTGCTGAAGAAAGCCAAAGCCGTGCCTTCCTGCGGAGAAAATAACTAAAAACTTGCTTTCACACTGAGTCAAAGATGCCTTCACTTCGTCCACCCTCTGTAGCATTGGTCCCTGCACCTGACCGAATCCAATTGAGTCAGGAAACCAAACCTGGAGTCATCTGGAGTCTTAATGAGTCCTGTCTGTAGAAGTCTCAGAAGAACGCGTTGATCTTCTTTGTTTCGGCAGTAGTTGTTACCGGGAACTATGCACCCATGTGGTTGTGAAGGTCTGAATCAACTCTGAATCTATCTAGCTACTACAAAGGTTGCCGTCAAATATTCTCTCATAATGTTGAGAAATCTTGGATGCATCAGACGGCAAGCACTACAATCATCAGAACCAACAAATGCTTTCTGGTGGCATAGAAAAAGGATGTGCTCTGTCTCTCAAACCTCTCAGAACAAATAGCACGGCAGTGATGTGCCTGAACTACCCTGGTCGGTGACACTGGCAGTAACAGCTCCTGTAGACATAGAGAGGACAAAAAAAAAACACAATGCGGCACCAGCGTGCTTTGGCAATGAAAATCTAAACAAGAGAAGATACGGCTGTTCTGCTTTAAACACATGAAACCAATCCACCTTCTGAAAAAAATAATGGATTTTGCTGGAGAAAGCCAAAGCCGTGCCTTCCTGCGGAGAAAATAACTAAAAACTTGCTTTCACACTGAGTCAAAGATGCCTTCACTTCGTCCACCCTCTGTAGCATTGGTCCCTGCACCTGACCGAATCCAATTGAGTCAGGAAACCAAACCTGGAGTCATCTGGAGCCCTCATGAGTCCTGTCTGTAGAAGTCTCAGAAGAATGTATTGATCTTTTTTGCTTGCTTCATTCACTGCGCTTGTTTCTGATGTTTTTGATTTGACGTCAGAACATATTGAATTGTTTTTTGGCATTTTGCCGAGGTCACTGCTTTCCTCCCATGATCGCTCGTGACCTGGTGACCAGAGTCGTAGCAGGCAACGTAGAGTGAGAGCCTTGATCAAAGTCACTCAAAGCATGTGCATCTTCTGAGTGACGGGGCTTGCATCGCTGAGAACCTCAGACCGGTCCATCATACAAGTGGCAAACTTAGATGTCATGGTGAAGATAATTTTGATCTATTATATAATAGGTATTTGAACTTCGAACTATGATCATTCCCAATCTACTCTTATATAATAGGTACTGTCGCATTCCTTCTGTTTTGAAACTCACTTGACTGGGGCCGCAGGCGGGCGCGGAGCCGACGCGGCATAGGTCGCCCGGCACCAGGAGCGCCTGATGGGGTCGACGGTCGTCTTAGAGACGGTCTAATGGGGGTGGTTGATGTTGTTGAATCTTAAGCCTGGGAAGGCTAACCCTGGAAATGTGGAATGCAGAGTGAAAAGTGGAAAAATGGATCAAAGGCACCTGACTTTCATTTGGGAGTGGCACCTCCAAACCCTGAGAGGTCCATGTGCTAGATGGTCGGGGAACACGCAAAGCTGGTAGGGACCTCAAGCGAAACTTTTGGTGGGAATGACTCAGCAACGGGGCACAAAGAGTAGGGCAGGGTGGAAGGAACAACGACTTCAGGTACTACAGATTGCTTGTTTCTGAGACCTTGCTTTTTGAAGTCTTTTGGTCTACTCTGAAATGCCACAAGGGTGTCTTTTCCTGTCCAGAAAAAGAAGCTGCGTTCCTCACTTGTGTGGCAAAGTCCCTCTGTCAACAAAGCGCTGCAAGTTTTGCGCAGCCCTGGCAGTGAAGATGCGCAAGGCATTGCACCCAAAGAAACGATCCGAGCTGTGACCACATCCCTTATGGAATTCCTTCATACTGCCTGTTCAATGATTTTGAATGGAGATATTTCTCAAAATTCAAACAAAATCCTGTCCACTCAAGTCAGTAGAGTCACTCAGCTGGCCCCTGCTGAGTCCTTTCTTGTATTTCTTGCCATGAAAACGTTGCGCCACGCCTCCTGTGACGACTGAAATCTTGAGCCTCAAGATTGGTCGGAATCTTCAAGCAATGAACTTGTAAAGAAGAAAGCCGACCGATCGGCGTTGAAACCTTGTGGAAACGACAAAACAGAAAGATTCATTTCATTCAAATTGTGTGTGTGTGTGTGTCAGCCTTTCACTGTTTCACAAGCAATTAAAAAACTCATCCAACAATTTTCCGCTGTGGGTTTGGACAAGAGCGGCACTGGAAACCGCGCCTCGACCTTCCGGTTGAAGGTGGGACCAACCGATAAAATTCGATTCACCATCTGAGCATTTTCCTGAGTTTTTCACAGAAAAGTGTGGCAGTTGCTCACTTTACACGGGGTCCATCTGAGTGTCACACTTGTGTCATTTCACTCGAACAAAAATGCTGACCAAAGATGTCGCAGCAAATCGCAGGAATGAGATCAGTTTCAGAGCGCATCAGTTCAGGATGTCATCCTAGAGCCTTCCAGTCCAGAATTAGCGCCCCTCAAAGATCGACGAGGTTGGGATCTGAATGTGCTGTATTGAGGCCTCGACTTGCATGATCACTTGCTGCATGCGATATCGGTAAGGCTCATTTAATGACCTGAACGAAAGATCACTATCATCAAATTGAAACTACAAACCATGTGGAATTCAGAGGACTGGAAGTGTCAAACGAAAAAACGTAGACTACTTCCAAGAAGTGGAAGTTTATCCTGCAGTGCTATCGCTGTTTTTAGACTGTGACAATCATGCTTTGCCGGTAGCACGAATACTTGGGAGATCCTAGAACTTCAAACACGACATTCAAAAGCGACAATAACTTAGTAAGTGACCAAGCGGATATCGGTCAAATTAGCAACGGAATTTGAAGCAAAATCCATCATGTTGCTGACAAGACCTGAAGAAAAAACTGTCGGAATCGACCGTAGCTCGTTGCCTCACTCGCTTTGCTGGTGCAGCTAATGACCTGGGATCAAACATGTCATGGAGAATTCTTGAGATTAAAAATAGTATAGAATAGTATAGAATAGTATAGAATAGTGAACAGTGTGGAACAAGAACTGGGATGTAAATACTGGTAAGGCATGCAGCGTCAAAGTGGCTGCATCTCTCCCAGGGTTTCGGTCTAGACCAACTTGACCTTGATGTATTTATTTTTGGGGTCGGAGCGTGTCAGCTACAGTGACAGCAGCCTTCCTATCTGGTGAAAAAGTGAGCTGCGGTTTCAAGGTCCCAGCACTCCTTGTTCGCCCCTTGGCACTATGAAGGGGCCTCCCAGAAACATCCAGAAACATCCAGAAACCATAGACACAAAGCAAGGCATCAAGAACCAAACAGCTTCTAAATGAATCTAAATGAATCTAAATGATACCTTCAAGATCCTTCAAGATCCTTCAAGCAGCAACAGGTGCCCCTTTTTTCTGGCGAAATCTGGTGGGATATCGGGATCTCCCACCACCATAGCACCATCCCGTCCTGGAGTCACAATGTAGTCCTGCTTCGATGGTGGTGCTCTGGGATCCCAAGCTGGCGCGCGGCAGATCCAGCCATTCCCAGCCCCAAGGTGCAGGATTCTCAGGATGGGGCCCCCAGTCGAGTTTGCGTGAACCGTTGGTTTATCTTTTATGGTAGATATAACGAACTAGTATTCATGGGGATTATCATGGTTTATAGTTTATAAACCAACTTAATTACATCACTGGGCCCCATCCTGTGCCAATCTTTGTGCCATCTTTCCACCATATCCCAAGTCGGAAAATTTTCCGATCACGGGATGACCTCCATAGCCTCTGGCGATGCTCTCCAACTTCTCCACCAGCTGATTCGCAGGTAGCTTTCGCAAGGGATGGAAATTAAAATCTGGGGAAACTCGCAACCCTAGTCTTCTCACATCCGATATTGGATATATTGGAAACAAGTCGACATCTTTTGGAAAACGACGCGGTGCACCTTCCGATTTTCCCGGCCAACTTGAGCACGTCGCAAGTAGCTGTCCCCAAAACGCCGGGTGCAAGTCTGCCAGGATGAGACTGTCTAAACTTTGGCTATTCATCATGGCATGCCCTACCCAAAAAATGCATTTCTTTAAGCATTGCACAAAGATATGATATTCCTCCATTTACTGTATGACTAGAGAATTACTTAGTCAGCCTACCCGATCAAGCTTTGCTGCACCCAGAAACCAAGCCATACTTTAGAATCCCCGTACTCGTAGAGCAGTACTTTGAAAAGCTTTTGCGATAAATTACACTCATCCTGAGACTCTCACGGGAATGCATGAGGAGGCACGATTCTCACATTGGAACACGTTTATCAATTACTGCATAAGCGGCAGTTCTGATGTTTCGTCATGCTATGGGCACCCTGCCTGCACGCTTGTTGTACTTGTCCGTCTTCCTACCTGTGAGCAGTGTCAAATCTTCGAAACAGGCTAAGTCTTCCAAGCTATTCCGTTTGGGTGTGTTACAAAATTTGGGACCCGACCAATACCTCCGAATCCTCTCTTCATTTTGGTAATATACCAGGTTTTCGGGGTCTCCGGGAAGCAAACCTTACCGGCCTGATTTTGGATGTTCCTCAAGGCGGCCTGGTGTTGGGCCAGACTTGGGGCATCCTCTGGTTGATCTGATGAATCTGATGCTCGAAAAGGCGGGTCTCCAAACAGAAGCATCAAACACTCATCAAACACCCGTCATTTATGGGTTTATGGTTATGTAAGTTTTTATCCCAAGTATGGTAGCGGCTAATACCATCTAATAGCCCTTCTTTTTTGTGCTAAAAATCTCCAAGTTCATCCATGTTCCACCCATTTTCCATCCAGATGTCATTTCTTTACCAAGGGTGAAAAAACTTCATCAACCACCAGGCATTCACCAAGGCTTCATCCCAAAAATGGTCGTAACCAACTGTCGTAAGTCCCACTCCTGGTGTTGCCGCTGCCCGTACTCCCACTCATGCCGCTCATTGGCTCGCGCAACCTGCGGTGCCTGGAAGACAAAAAAGGCTGGATGGTTTCAAGCCACGAAACGGCTACCTTTTTACGATTTCATGTGCGCATATAACTGATATTAACTGATATAACTATAACAATAAGAGTCTAGGATGTTGCAGTGTTCAACAACAGTTGGTTCTAACTTAATCTTCTTAGTCAGCTGCATAAATGGGATAAACTGCCAGACATGCAGGCTCTAAGCAACGCGAAATTGGGATTGATCCCACCCAAAGGTTTCCAGCAAGGTGTGAACCAGCTTTAATAGATACGAACAAAACAATACTAAATTGTCACTAAGCAAAATGCGGACACCGAAAGACTTGCTTGGTGGAGCCAATCATCCCAGGTAGAAGTAGCAAATTCTTGAAGTTACCATGCACCAATCATGCTGGGATGTAAATTGTGAGACGGCAACCACTTTTCGATGATGGCTTTCGAAAAAGGCTTCATCAACCTCTTCATGCAACTGTAATTTTGGGTTCAGCATCCCAGAATCCTCGGACAAGAACTCTTCTTAGTCAGCTGCATAAATGGGATAAACTGCCAGACATGCAGGCTCTAAGCAACGCGAAATTGGGATTGATCCCACCCAAAGGTTTCCAGCAAGGTGTGAACCAGCTTTAATAGATACGAACAAAACAATACTAAATTGTCACTAAGCAAAATGCGGACACCGAAAGACTTGCTTGGTGGAGCCAATCATCCCAGGTAGAAGTAGCAAATTCTTGAAGTTACCATGCACCAATCATGCTGGGATGTAAATTGTGAGACGGCAACCACTTTTCGATGATGGCTTTCGAAAAAGGCTTCATCAACCTCTTCATGCAACTGTAATTTTGGGTTCAGCATCCCAGAATCCTCGGACTCTCTTCCAAACCCAACTGTGCTCAACACTTCTTCCAAACCCAACATTTGCCCAGTTTGCCCACTACCAATCCTTTGACATGCTCAAATCCCTGCGCAAGGCAAACGTCTTTAACAACAAGCCAACCCTAAACTCTACATCCTGAAAGCTAGGCTAAGTGGTCAAAATCGTTGCCTGTTCGTTGCTTATAGCCAGTGTTTTCGTGCATCCTATGGTGACAATGTGCACGCACCTCGAGCTGCACCGGCATCCACCTCTCCACTGGGCTGGGTCCACCAAAGGTTCTAAGATTCCATGTCCTCACAGACTTAAGACAGTATTGCTGGTTGAAATGTCAGAAATTCCCGTTTATAGAGTTTATATGAGTTTGTAGACATTCCCTGTTTGGAATTGATTTTTTGACCCATCAAACCTGAAGCATCGGTGATGTTTGGTCAATCCAACCAGCCTTGCTGCCACTCAGCAGAGACTTCTTTGAGGCTACGCAGGCTGCGAAACAATAGTGAGTACTGGGAAATGAATGGCGCTTTCACCGCATACTTTCAGATACAAGCACAAAATGAGGAGATCACCAACAGGGAAATGATGGAAATGTCTAGAATGCCAGGCAGGAATTAGATGCCTAGAACCATGTTCAATCTAGAATCTACACCATCTTCACCAGCAGAAAGAAACGACCATTTTAAAATCGGACAAATGATTCGAAGGTGGAAAGCCCCCCAATCATGCACTGAAACAAATAGTTCCAAGATCTGCACTTTGAACTGCATTGCAGGTCACTGCAGGTCCCACAGTCCCTTTGAGGCCGGGGAAACCAGTCAATAGAGCCAGCTATGTCTCAAACAGAGCTGGATCAGCCTTCGCCTGTGTGGCCAACAAAGACAACCTTTCACACAAAGAACGAGGACAAAATTGGCAATAGATGACAATATCCTTTCTTCTCCGCAATCTCTTCCGGTAACCTTGGCAGGAAGCCGAAAACAGAAGCTAGTTACAGTAAGTTGCTGACTTTTCCCTTGGGTTTCAAGCTGCACCACTGAACGGCACTTGTCCCTTTTGTTTTCCGAATCCAAATTACAATCTAAATGTTCCGCGCATCACACTGAGACGGCCTGGTCAGTTCCCAAACGTTTCAACAGGTTGTTAATATGATTTAACATGATATTAATTTTGCAGGCTGATCTGAGAGACATCTCCATGAAGTTGGTCTTCTGCTCGGCTCCATGCTCCCACAAGAGTCGTGTGATGGCCTGATCTCCAACGTAGGCTGCAGCATGAAGCGGAGTACAATCAATCAACAACGCCTCCAGGGCCATTGCATGGCATCCATGGCCATGGGAAAGGTCTGAGGAGCTCGCAGTTAGTTGCATTCACTGCTGATGTCTATACAAATATGGCCGAATATGTACATTGGTGTGATGTAAAACTGATCGAAGGAAGTTTAGAAGTCAAACTTTCGACAATATGGACAGATTAAAAGCAGAGACGGGAAGAGTCAGAGAGAAGAGAAGAGTAGAAGAGAGAAGATGATAAAAGAGAAAGAGTCAGAAGAAAGAAGATGCAGATGCGCGGAAAGGTAGGAAAGTCGCGAAACACTGCGTTTTTCCAATGATTTGTGGCTCCGGAGGGTCGAAAAGTAGGCTCGCTAAAGCGGCGGGTGCGGACCCATCTGGCCAGATGAGAGATGAAAAATTGATAAAAATCGCACGCCATTGTGGCGCGAAGCACATTTCGAAGTCAAACTGTACAAAACACACCAGCTCCGGGCCACTTTTGGAAGTTGAGATGTCGAAAAATTGCACGCCGTTGTGGCGCGAAGCAACGTTTCGAAGTCAAAATGTACAAAACACACCAGGGTCGGACCACTTTTAGAAGTTGAGATTTCGAAAAAGTGCACGCCATCGTGGCGCGAAGCACATTTCGAAGTCAAAATGTGAAAACACAACATGTTCGTGCCAATTTTTGGACGTTGAGATGTCGTTTCGCGTGGCAGGCGCAAGGGATTGTGCACCTTGTGAAAAGTGAGCAAAACGTGAGGGTTTTGTCGCGTTTCCAAAAACGATGGCAGGCGGCAGGCGTGGGACATTTGAAGAGGATCTGCAATGATGCATTTTCCGTGGCAGGTGCAGCACAAGAGACATGTTCATCAGAGCTGTTACGAGGTCCGGGCGCTGATTTCCTGAGACGGGTTGCATTTTGGAGCCTGAGATCTTCAGGTTTGCTGAGGTCATTTTGAGTGACAGGTGCAGCACTTCGTATGACCTGGCATCACTTTTTCGTGGCAGGCGCAGTAATTTAGACAGATAGACAGATGGATGGATGGATGGATGGATAGATAGATAGATAGTTAGATAGATAGTTAGATGGTTAGATAGACAGATGAGAGAGAGAGAGAGAGAGAGATAGATAGATAGATAGGTAGGTAGGTAGGTAGATAGGTAGGTAGATAGGTAGGTAGATAGGTAGGTAGATAGGTAGGTAGATAGGTAGATAGGTAGGTAGGTAGATAGGTAGGTAGGTAGGTAGATAATCAGAGAAAGAGATAGAAAGAGAGAGAAAGAGAGGAGACCTCAACCACCTTGCGGTCCATCAGTGGATTCTCTCTGCCATCCCTGATTCACAACAACCAATCTCTCCTTTTTCGGTTTCCTATTTTTGAAACTTCCGCCACCGCCGCCGCATTGTGCGGTACTACCGGTTGATTCAATTGATTCCAAGAAATCCACCAGCCTCTTCCCAAGGGGACAATCCAATTTTGACCCGTATCCACTGGTATCCACATTAACTATTGGTAATATCATGACCATCTATGACCATTAATAGTAATCTATGTGGATACCAGTATCCATAGATTATCCATTAACTATTGGTAATTAGATACCATTGATACCCAATAATCTATAGTAATTAATATCCACATGACCATCTATGACCATTGGCCATCATCTCTGCCTGGTACTGCGTCCACACAGAACTTCTTTCCCAGCCAATGATGCTCATCTTCACAGAATTGTTGTAACCTCACGGCACTTCTGAAAGGTTCAAACCTGAAATGGGATATGGGATGATATGGGTACGTGACATATGTGTCTTACGTCTTCTTACCATCGATTTTGGGGGTTGATCATTTTGACCAACTCTTTCCAAGTCTGTTTCGTTTGCCCAGTGGCTGATGGTATATGAAGGTCCTCCAAGCGTTGCTCGCGAATTGGGATCTGCTCGCTGCGCCAGAAGCAAGCGCAGGTTTTCCAATGAATAAGGATTTCCACGAGAAAACATGATGGGGATCTGGATGTCACACTTTGGGTCGCATCTCACCTCCTGAGATGTCAAGAATTGTCAAGACTTGAGATGCTAGGAAAAAGGATGAAAAAGGAGAAGAGAAGTGGGCAGCGAAAATCAAATGGTGATGGTTGGGTTGGAAAAAGAAATGCACACGTGTCGACTGACTAAGACTTCAAACATCTTCAAACAACTTCATCAAAATCGTGCAAAATCGCTACAACATCTAGTCTTCCCCAAGCCTTCCAGAGTGCAGGTGCAAGTCAAAAGAGCCAAGGATCCAGGAGCGCTCGAACTGTGTTGGTGCATGCCATAGTGGCACAACCAGTCAGGGGCGTCAACATCATGTCTCCACGACGAGAATGCAAGTCTGCTCTGGCAGCAAAAAGGACACTCACCTAGCATCGTACATCGTACAAAGCCACACATCAACTGGTTAGTTAACGGTTAGAAAATCTATAGGAACCCCTGGTTCTTCCCGTCAAAGGGCTCCGAAAAAAATGTGTTCCGCGGACAGCTCTGTTGGGCCTTTGGATGACTAGGGATGAATCGGAGATATTTTCTGCCTGGAGATGACCATGGTCTGAGGATAGGAATTCACATGGATCCATTTAGCATATAATGACATATCATGAATATTTAACGAATAGAATATTCAATAAATATTGAATGAATCATAATGAATCATAATGAATGATAATGATGCATCAAATGGATCCTAATCCATCAACAGTCCTACACAGCCAACGAATGTCGAATGTCGAATGCACCTGCTCAGGAGTTCTGGCCAAAAACATCACGTTGGACCCGTTGGAAGATCGGACAGAAATATCTGCACGGAGTTCGATGATGGTCTCCAAGACATCACCAGTTTGTTTCGATTTTGCAGCTGCCATCAAGAGGGTTTGGCTTTCGTAGTAGCCCAGTTCCTGGTATTTTTTCCGCGAAAGCTGCGAAAGAGAAAATTGCTTGTGACCAAATGCTCCGAGTTTGTGGTCCAAGCAAATGGGTACTCAAAAAATTGAGGTGGTTGTTTTTGCGGTTGGAATGTTGTTTACAATGCAAAACATCGAATACAGCGCGGGAAGAATCGAATCTTGGCACAGGCACGGACAAACCAGAAATTGGTTTGTTGATATCTGCTCGACAACTCGCAAGCGTTCGCATCATTTCAGTGTCCCCAGAGAACCTGGAGGTGTTGAAGTTTCGCCGCTGAGGCAAAGAGCAAGTAAACAATGCAAGTATAATATTAATAATATTAATATATATTAATATTACGTATATATACCACAATTACTGTAGATACCAATTATGTTATAGTTGTCTGCGAATTGTTTTGGTTTCCATGCCCAAAGATATACAATTTTCTTTGAGAGGTGGCCCATATAGTGGGTTTTGCACTGACAAACACTGATGATGATATGATGGTGTTTGATGTGTGGTATGATGATTATGTTAGAAGATATTCTCCGAATGTTTCTACACTATCATTTGAACACCAATGTAAATATATTAATTCAAAAATTGTAATCATTGGAGCAAAGCCACATGGCACAGAGCAAACCGGTCAACCGGCTGTGATCACCAAACACAGCTGCATCCCAATTGGCGAAGTCAAATTTCCTCAAGAATCCCTGCACGGTTGCATTCCACCGGTCATGGCCCAGCAGTCCTTGATGGACAACTCTGCACCACATGGCGGGATGGGAACATGAATTTCCTCCAGCTAGCGTGGTGCCCACCACGGTACCAGGGGCTGTGATGCATACCAATACTACTTCACATACATTACATTATCCGCCGACCCCGGCCTTCGCCAAGGCAGGGGCGGCGCCTGGGACCACCGCAGGTGTGGAACTTGTCTTTCTTAGCAACAGGCATCCCAAGGCCACATCAATGGCTTCTTATGGGCGTCCAGCGCAGGCAATAGGTACCCGAAGGCCAGATCCATCGCTTCTTCTCGGCGGTCCAGCGTGCCGTTCGCCAGGCATTCGCAGCCAACAGGCATCCCAAGGCCACATCAATGGCTTCTTATGGGCGTCCAAACTTTTTCTCGGCGGTCCAGCGTGCCGTTCACCAGGCATTCGCAGCCAACAGGCATCCCAAGGCCACATCAATGGCTTCTTATGGGCGTCCAAGCTTGCCGTTTGCCAGCCCCTAAACCCCTAAAACCCTCCAAACCCCTAAAACCCTTAAAACTCTCAAAACTCTGCAAAAGCGTCTCGGGCCAGATCCATTGCTTTTTCTGGGCGGTCCAGCGTGCCGTTCGCCAGGCATTCGCAGCCAACAGGCATCCCAAGGCCACATCAATGGCTATTATGGGCGTCCAAGCTTGCCGTTGGTCCAGCGTGCCGTTCGCCGGGCAGTCGCAGCCAACAGGCATCCCAAGGCCACATCAATGGCTTCTTATGGGCGTCCAAGCTTGCCGTTTGCCAGCCCCTAAACCCCTAAAACCCTCCAAACCCCTAAAACCCTTAAAACTCTCAAAACTCTGCAAAAGCGTCTCGAAAGAGGGTCGGCGGCACCAGGGGCGTTAGCCCATTCTATATTCCATTCCATTCCTTTCCACTCAATTCCTCCACTCCGCTCCATTCTATTCCATTAGGTTAGGTTACGTTACGCTACACTTCCGTGCAGTACCACTCCATGCAGTACAACACAACACAATAAAAAATCATACAATCACAATCACAATGCAGCATGTATAGCACACAATCCATCCCAGTCCATCCCAATTCAACGCAGTGAGCTCTAATCCAAAGCAATACACTACATTACAACACAATACAATACAGCAGTATACCATACTGTACAAAACCATACCCTGCCATACCATAACATACCATAACTATACAATGAAATGCAATGCAATACCATACAACACGATGCAGTAAAGCGCGATACAAGGCAATATAAAACATGCGACACAACAGAATACACTATAAAAATACAATGCCCTGCAAGACCATACAAGAATAACAAACCTGTAAACCTACATAAAACACTACACCTCACTTTCCACTACACTGCACAACACCACACGACGCGACGCCATGCGACGCGACACGACACCACACGACATGACTCGATATGACACTACACAACACCACACACACCACACGACATGACACGACATTACATTCCACTCCGTTGAATAAAATTACATTACACTTCATACAGTATGGAACATTCACAACATACATTTGCAATCATTTGCATATGGAAGATGTGTCCTTTTTTGAAAAAGCGCCGCGTCCTCACCCCTCCCTGTTTCAGCTTGCTGCCAAGCAACTAGCTCGGTTGGCCACAAACCAGCGAAAGATGCACATGGCCCGTTGCTCCTTGAGGCTTTGGATCTTGGCATCCACAGCAGCTTCCCCCAACTTGGCTACTACGAGCCTGTCTTCTTCCACAGTAAACTGACCATCGACGATGGTGTTCAGCTGCCAATCTAAGGGGAACATGTACCTCACCTTACTGCTTGGCGCGATCTGCGTTCGGTCCAAAACATGTCTCAATGCTTGGGGGTGTACCAGTTAACAATCAACTGACATTGCACGCGTTGCTTTAGCTTCTGCGCGAGGCATTTCGACATGGCTAGACATTGAGAGTTGCAACAAAGTTACAGAGCGTTTGGGAACAGCTCGGTTGGAGTAGAGTGACTAGAGGGAAATTATTCCGAAATCATGAACATGTTGGGAGACCGTGTAGTGCTTGCTGGCAGATCTTGCTGCCCAACCCAGTCAAAGAACCACAGCACAAACGTTCTTCAAAGTTTGATTTTTGCTTGTGGGCCCGCTTCCGACAAAATGGAACCACCAAGCAAAAATCCTGCTTCATTCAAGTCGCATCCCTGGTGCTGTGAAGGAGAATCACATGTGTGTCTGGCCTGTTCGATAGAAGTCGGCACCAAAGTTCGGCCCTGCACCACCCTCTCTGAAGCCAGCTCGTATAGTTGCAGAAACAGCCTCGGTCCTCGCCATAGCATGTTCTTTCACTCTCCAAACATGGAAACTTCGACGTCAGCACGCACGCATTTTTTTGCGCTTCTATAAGTGTGTGTGCGCGCGCGGGCATAGATCAGCCTGAAGCTATGTAAGAGTCTGCAACAAGCCATGCAAATCGATGCTTGAGATGAGACCCAAGTCCTGATGCTTCACTTCGGGCACCAATGCAATGAAAAGGTCTGATGCCTCCACATAGGCCGGAATACTCTGAACAGCCTGAGCTGCTTCAGTTCTGCAGGTCTCTTCATTGACGCCTCGCAGGATTTTTTTCAATGCTGTCAATGGTTGACCACAGCACCACAGCAGTGAAATCACATGACATGTTGGATCACTGGATCATACCCAACAAAATCCAACAACCACAAGTTGGAAAAGACACAGTTTCAGCCTGGAAGTCTTGCAGTGATCTGTGGGATGGCAAACCTTGCAGTGAGCTGTGGCATACAGTACTCCGTGACAGGACATAGAACCTCTTCAGTTGCTTGGCACAAATGACTCTGTTGGAAGATTCTCTGTTGTTAAAGAAACCAGCGTTCCGACTCTTCTTGGCTGCAAACTGTTAAATGTGAGCCAGTCAAGCTTGCATAGATCCCCACTTTTGCACTTTTTCTGATTTACATTGAAAGACTTGGTTTTAAGCAGAGCTGAAGTTTGCCGAAGAAATTGGTTCTCTCCGTTTTCTGCCATTATCCCAAACCCACGGGGTCTTTACGAAGGCTGGGATCTGGCTGAAGTGAAATGATTCATCAACCCGAAAGCATCGGTGATTTTGGGGTGCTTCCCGAAAAACCACCATGAACATGTTGAAGTCATGCTACAGCCATTGAAATTCACCCAGGGAAGTGCTGAAGTGCTGCTGAGAAACCAATCCAAAAACAGATAGCCATCTGCCAGCTGCCTTCGCATCCGTGGGGTCAAAGTGATGAGATCTGCACCACGATTTTGACTCACGATATCCGACCTCACGTAAATCATCGTAAATCATCGTAAATCCATCAACTCGTTCCGTTGCTGGTTTTAAAAGAAAACAGTACCCCACAAGGTGCCTGCTCAATACATGCTAGCAATTGCTAGCATCTAATAGGATCTAATAGGCCTGTTATTGTTTGTACCCACTTACAGCAAAGTCCATGCAAATCATGCACATGTTTTGATGAGCCAAACACACCTTCTTTAGTCTTAGTCTTATCTGCGGTCACAAGAAAATATCAAAATGAAATCAAACTCTTCCAGGTTACTCGATGGCCAGTGAACCTGACAGCACTTCTTTCAAGGTTTCACGAAGGAAGCAGCAGTGTTTGCCTGTGGGGTCTGGATGCGTATTGCCAAGCCATTGATGAGATACAAATGCCACGAACATACCTCAGCATCAAATCGTACCACTCAAAGCATCAATTCACTTCGCCACTTCGCTTCTCCCCTCTAAACTGTCCGACATTTCATGCAAGAGCCGGCAAGAGCCATTCTTTCCGATGTGTAAATTACATCATCTGCACAAGCTACAAGCACTAGCCATGGGTCGTTCACTCGCACATCTTGACAGCAGTGAGGATTGCAAGGACAAGGCAATTCGTTGTAACACAGTGATATCAGCCATGCAGTAAGCTTGTTGACCGCAACCTGTCCGCTGGGACCAAATCCACACCCTAACTGCTTTCAAAGTTGCCTGGCTTCCATGCATGGAGCAGCCCCTGAGATAGCAAGGCACCATGAGCATCCGGTATTCCAGACATCTCCAAGAAATCGGAAACCTTCCAGGTTGGAAGTAAGTTGAATGGCAGTCAAAGGTGACCCTGGCTGTCAAAATTTATTCACTTCAAAGGCAAACCTAAGTGCAAGATTCGGAACATTCTGATGAAATTCCCTTCCGCTTTAAAGCGAGCCTTCACCACGTACATGGGGAAATACATTGAATGCACACCTAGGCAGAAAAGTGCAGCTACACAACTGCCGGGGTTGCCCCTGACATTGACCTTGCTGTGACATTTTGGAAATGTGCTAAGGTGGATCAACGGCTAAAATCAGTACAAGTAATTAGGTAAAAATTGTATCACCACAAAGGCACTGAAAAGGTTCGTGGTAGCGTCATCGGACATGTTTGAAAAAGGTACTCCCTCACCAAGTCCAAGTCCGCTTCCAGGTTCATTCTCCCTCTGAAATATCGACAGCTATTGGATGCTATTGGTATGATTTTGTCTCATCCAATTGTACAAATTGCACAATAACTTCTTGCTGTCAAAGCACAGTTGTAGCATTCCAACTCAACGGTTTCATCGCAAGCGCTTCCAGCACATTGGCCCATGGTGCCACTAGTCCGATTCCGGCGCCCAGAGCCGTGCTGAAGAGGGACAACTTCAGCACCAGTCCACCAGAAAGCTTTGGTGGCTTCACAATCCACGTGTCATTTACATTATGTACCAATATGTACCAAATATATACTAACATCAAATCTTAACAAACATGTACCGCAGCCTAAGTTCCTAAGTTTTCGATCTGATTGTGTACTGGTTCTTCAACGTTCTTATTATCAGGCAATGTTTTGTGTTTTTGGTCCGTATGATTTAGCTGTGGTGGTTCTGTGACTAAAGCCACTCAAAAAAAAACATCCAACATCATCTGTACCCAATGTCCTTTCTGTTCCACCCTCCCAAAATCAACCTTCAAGATCATTTTAAAAATGTTAAGATCATGTCAAAAAGTGGCGTTTTTTGGTTTTCCTCCCATTTTCCTCCCATTTTTCACCTGAAATCGCCAGAGAAAGCACCACTTTTCGTCTCCGAAGCCGGCCCTCTTTGGAGCTCACTGGCCATCTGACGTGCTGCGCCGGCGCTTGGACGTGGCGGGATGCAGCAAATGCCGAAGCTCCCGCTGTGCCTGGGCAAAAGGATTCATGCCAGTGGCATGGGCCCCAAATGGATACATATTATGCATACATATTATATATATATATATATACCATATATATATACCATATATATATACCATATATCATATATCACATATACTCTATATATATGTGCATTGACATATGTGCATTTGTGTGTTTACGTATACAATACAGACATAGATACATTTTTCGGTACGTATTGTATTATGTGTAAGTAAAGAATCTATAAACGACATGCCATCCAAGACGAAGCCATCTGCCATCGAGGCCCACGCGCGTGTTGGGAAATCCTCCCGACTGATGGCGCTTTCAACATCCGGAGTCCTGACACATCTGACACATCTGAAAGCAGACTTCCCCTTGTGGTCCCCAAGGTGTCAAAAGGACTGCATTTCTTGCTGCTGCTCTGGAAAATGGCCTATAGAAATAGATGGTTTACCTGGGTTTACCTAGTAGCCTGGTGATTTTCCATGGCTATGTTAGTCATAACCAGAGGGTAGTTGGCCACTTGGCAGTTCTAATTACTCAACTCAGTAATGCCCAGTGGCGTGAGTGCGAAACATCTGCAGGCACTTCTCAACCTTACGAAAACTGGCGCAAACAAAGATGGCATTTGAAGCTGCAACAAAGAAAAATCCACATGATGTCTGCCAAACACTTATTGCTCTGATTTCTACTTCTTTGCCTACTGTTCCGATCCGATGATCACCGTTACTAGTTCTTGCTGAAATCCGTATCTATGTCTTGACCGCTTGTTTGGTCATGCCCTGTTCTCTTGGTGTATGCCCACTTTTCTAGTTGAAGATTTCACTGGATTCCAGGTTTTGGGTGGATGTTTCTGGATTTTTGGATGGTTTTTGGAGGGTTTTTTCCCAAGTTGTGTCCTTTCTTTCCTGATCTCTGATCAAAATTCATTACCCTCTGGTAAACAAACATAACTATGGAAAATCACCATGTTTAATGGGACTCACTATTTCAATGGCCATGTTCCAGTTCGCAAACTGTTGACATCACCAGAGGGTAACTCCAATGGATGGTGATTCCACAGCTAAGTGGCTTTGGCAGGGCCTTCAGCAACGCAGCTTCACAAAGTTCCCCTAAAGTTTCAGGCGACACCTGAGGCGCAGAGCTGGAAATCGCAGGGAGAACCCGCGGGAAAAATTATAATATATATATATACATATGATATATAGCTTGATACAACCAATCAAAATGAATAATACAATATAATACAATTACATACAATTACCAATAAATATCGCTAGTTGTTTGTCACTGTGCACACCCCTTCGATGGTTTGGCCATAGAGCAACTAGCAGAATCAAACATAAAGGTCAAGAGATCGCAATAGTTCAAATGAAATTGTAGTTGACACTGAATTTAACGCAGCAATTTGGGTGTGGGCGTGTCTGAAAATGGAGTATACCGGTACACTATAATTCACTATACCCCAACATAAAAGCTTTCATGAGAAAGATAACGAGAAAGCACCAAAAGTTTAGGTGTTTTTCGATTTTTCCCCAAAGATTCAGGTACCAAAAGCTTATTCCACTCAAAGAAATTCACTCAAAGCTGTCCAAGTTGCCATGGCCACCAATTCATTCTCGGCCATGGCCACGATGTGTGGCACCTGCCATCGATGTGCCAAATCCAAAGCTCCCAGCAGCACCACCATAGATGGCGTGTCTGGCGAATTTCCTGTGTACCTGGACCAGACACCACTGGAGTGGCGATGAACTGATACTTGGATTACTTGGATTCCTTCACCCAGAATATGAATCCAAAGCCGAGGCCATCCGAACATGGCTAAAACATGGTGTAAAACATCTAAAATCACTGGAAGAACCCACAGTTCAAAGACCATGGTGACCAGCGGGCAGGATCGGGCAGGGGCACATTAGCCGCAGAAACAGCCTGGCTGCTTCGAGGGTGACACCTTCCACACGAATGTGGCCGCTGCGACCTGGCCATCAAATCTATCTGGGATAATGGGAAGATACTGGGGATCGAATATGCTATGGCTGCTATGGCTGCTATGGTTTTGTCTCAAAAATGGGGGATGAAAACCGTGATTTACCCCTCTTTAACGGCCACTTAAAATCATGAGATACAGAATTTGAGACATGGCTTACATCAACGTGAGCCGCTCGTGGTATCACACCTGGGTTTCGGAGTTGAGGTGGTGGATGACATGAGGAAATGCTGCATGTGAAATAACCCCATATCAGATGGCAGATATAAGTGGAACATAGTTGGGTCTGTCGCATTCACCAAACATTTACCGCTCATCCAAGTTGTCAAAAAAAAACACATGGCCAACATGGCCAACACACATCCGACCGTGCCACCGTGCCACCGAGCCTTCTTTCATCGGTGCTGACAGCAACGCATTCAGCACCGGTGAAGCACTTCGCAGCACGGCTCCATGCGCTCGCAATGTGCCACTTGTGCCACTTGTGCCACTTGTGCTGTCGGCACACACACCCGAAACCTGAACTGAGAAACAGCTGAGAAACAGCATGTTGAAAATGTTTTCAATTTCTTGAAAAGCCATGTTTTTCATTGTTTTTCACCAGATATCCATGGGGTTCCATGGGGTTCCATGGGTTCCTGTAAATGTTGACACGAAATATGAAACTTGCCTGAAAACTCAGACAGCTACTGTCATCGTCATCTACCCTTTTGCATGTTTGCAATCTTGCGAATCGGCGGCAAGAATTTGTTTGCCTCTAGTAAAATTCGAGTAAAAAAACATCATCTATCCGTGGGAGATGTTTCACTGATGGCATAATACCAAACTGCGCTAACCCCAATGCCAAACCCATGAGCGGTGCCCGGTGCCCCCTATTGGGTTCATGATCCCCAGTAAGTCACGTAGTAGAACAACTAACCATTGACCAACCACTAAATTTACATATACCCCCAGTTTTCAAGGCTACCCTCATCTTGGGTGGTTTGATCACCAATTGTCCATATTAATATGTTTCATCATCAATCGGCTGGAAAATCACCATTCTATAAATTAAAAATGGAAAGCACGATGTTTCCGTGGTTAAATCATGTTACCCTCTGGTAAACTAACATAACTATGGGAAATCACCATTTTTAATGGGTAAAATCACCATGAATTCACCCGTTGAACCGCTGCGCAATGCTGCGCACCTCAAGTTCCACATCAGCACAGCTCTCATCTGCCAGGAGTTGTTCCCACATCTCCACGGTGCCCTCGGGGACCAAGACCACAGGGTCCTCTTCGGAATTCTGCGGACGGCACGGTGCAGGACTTGGTGCAGCTGAAAAACTCGACATGACATCGACGGAAATCTGTACCAATCTGTACATGGATGCTGATGAAACATGATGAAACATGATGAAACTGCTGAAACAATCGTGGTGCAGCAGGTGCACGTGCTTTTTGGCCAGTTCGGCAGTTCTGATCTATGTCCAAGGCATAAAGAGTAGCTGTGTTTGTCTGAGAATTCCATCATGTTCCATCGCTCGGGTCCCTCTCCTCCTCTGGGACAAACTCTGCGAAGACACTGAGCATTTGATCCGCATTTGCGATCTGAGCAGCGTACTCCTCCAGGTTGGATTTTTCGTCGAAAGCTATGGAGAAATATCTTCATCGGTTGGCCGCCTTTGGCCATTTTTCTGAACATTGAAAGGCTGTACAGCTTAAGTGGACTATACTATATAAGTATATATGGCCACAAAGCCCCGAAGAGAACTGGACTTCTGAGTCATCTTTTTGAACCATTTCTATTTGGTGAAATGTTCCAGGTGTAGCAAGGTCCATTCCCCCGAACATCCCGTCTGAACTGATTCTGAACCCCTCAGGTTTGTCTGTCCTTCTCAAACTTACAGCAAGCACGACGAAAGGAGAAGACCAAGGACAAGGCACTGTGCCCCGAACGGTCCACCGCGTCCAACTTTGGGTATGCGGTGCCTGCGAGCACTCAAATCATGCAAAGAACCAAAACCTTCTCACACAAGTCAACGTTTTCTTAAGATTTCCATGGCCTAGGCTCTTCGTTCCATCTCGCCTTTGACTTATTGCATTGGGTTTTCGAGGCTACAAACCGGCCATCTGTGTAGCCCTTTAGTGGCATACATGCTGGTTTCTGGTCATCTTCTTAAATCATCTTTGATCATATTCAGTGATCTTCTATCTATGACCTTTCCTTCTCGAACACGAATTGCGATTCTGTGCCAAAGGCCAAACCTTGCAATTTCCGCCAGGAACGGAGGAGCTCTCGAAATTCACTATCATGACAGCCCAATTCACATCGATGTAATTCATGTTTGACCCTATTTTGTAACCCTGATGCTGATGATGATGATGATGATGATGATGATGATCTAGTCTAGATCTCAGATCTTTGTTCCTGATCTTCCCATACATTTGACCGATTCGTGGATTCGTGCCTTCGGAGCCCCAAGTGCTGCGTGAATTCTCCAAATGATGCGCCACCTTCCGGGGGTCTGCACCTCAGCAGTTTGGGGCCAAATGGTAGGAAGTTGATTGAGAACAAGTTGATTGCAAGGCTAACAGTTGGATTTGTTGCGAATGATTGTTTCAAAACCAAACAAAGGGAGAGTCAACTGAGATATGCAAAAAAAAATCTGGAAAACACAGTTTTCAGCGGTAGTCCGGTAGTCGTCCTATGTTTCCCAAAACCGAGCATCCATTAGCAATCACGCTTTTTCAGATGTAAACCATTGGACATTGGGGAAATGACAATGTCTCCTGTTCGCATCGCCTTTCAGGCGAGGGTAAGTTCCCAAATGCACAAATGCACATTTACATCAAGCGGTGGAGCACCTTGTGCCATGCAGAAACGAATGAGCTTCCAAATTGGCGCTGTCCTGAAGACAAGACAGTCTGGCCTGCAGCCTGAAGCTGTGGATCCTCTGGTAAAGTAGTATCTGAAAACATGAAAGAGATTGAAACAGAAGAAAGCTTTGTTTCGGCATCTAAATAAGCACAATGATGCATTTGACATTTTTGACATTTGCTAAAAATCATCTGTTGGTCCAAAGTCGGCACACTTTAGCACCTGCTGGTGTTGCTGCTCAATCGCAGGCCATCCGGGACAATCGCCATCAAAGGAGTTCCCAGCGATGGATGGACCTGACCGAAAATCCAGAGACGTCCTCCCGAAATCTCCCGAAATCAATGGATGGAACTGGGAACTTTTGAGTCAGAAACGCTGGTAAAATTACGCGCAAACACCCCGATTCGCCCACACCCCTTCTATGCTGTACACTGGGGATATCAAACGTTAGACTTTACATTCAATTGGGAAGATCAACAAGGGTATTTAGGGAATATAAATTTCCCACCCCCGTTAAACTTTACATTCATTGAAGATCTTCAATAAGCAATAAGGGTTTAATTCGTTTAAACTTCTACATTCATTGAAGATCTTCCCGGGTTTAATTCTCCCACCCCCGTTAAACTTTACATTCATTGAAGATGTTCAATAAGGGTTTAATTCTCCCACCCCCGTTAAACTTCTACATTCATTGAAGATCTTCAATAAGGGTTTAATTCTCCCACCCCCGTTAAACTTCTACATTCATTGAAGATCTTCAATAAGGGTTTAATTCTCCCACCCCCGTTAAACTTCTACATTCATTGAAGATCTTCAATAAGGGTTTAATTCTCCCACCCCCGTTAAACTTCTACATTCATTGAAGATCTTCAATAAGGGTTTAATTCTCCCACCCCCGTTAAACTTCTACATTCATTGAAGATCTTCAATAAGGGTTTAATTCTCCCACCCCCGTTAAACTTCTACATTCATTGAAGATCTTCAATAAGGGTTTAATTCTCCCACCCCCGTTAAACTTCTACATTCATTGAAGATCTTCAACAAGGGTTTAATTCTCCCACCCCCGTTAAACTTTACATTCATTGAAGATCTTCAATAAGGGTTTAATTCTCCCACCCCCGTTTAACTTCTACATTCATTGAAAATCTTCAATAAGGGTTTGATGATGATGATGATGATGATGATGATGATGATGATGATGATATTGATGCTGTGTAAAAGCCACGCACAGGTCAGGGACCTGTGCGTTGAGATATACCACTTCAAGTTACCCGTGATGCAAAAAACTCCCATTTTTACCACGTTTTCAGCACATCAGAAGATGGCCGCCGACAAGCGCGGACAAATCAAGGTGTTTGGCCGTAAAATTACCATCAAGATTATCAAGGTTTCCTTTAAATCGTCCAACATATTCTTGGAGTCAAGAGATTTGAAAAGATTGTTGAGTGTCCATTCTGCTGCATTCTGTCATTTATGTCATTTCTTGTTTGACGGAGTGACTGAGTTTGGTCCGGCCTGGTTCCAGTCCCAATCGGGAGGCACTAACCTGGAGATCACTACGTCGTCTTTGCCATTTCCTGGACACATTTCGCAGAGGTTCTTTTTGTGAGGATCTTTGGCAATACAAAATGGATGAGAAACTACTTGTGGATTTATTGACTTACATTCCAGTTGAGTGAATTTTAGTTTGGGAACCAAAAATGATGATTATTGAAAATTGATCTAACAGAACCAGGAGAGGCACAGAACGACGCCTGGGATTCCTTTTTATTGGGGGATCCGGATATCATCTGAAAATGGTCCTTTTTGATACGGAAAGCAATGGTTTGAGGGTCCCCCATTTTTGAAACCCCCGTTGATTAATAGTCATTGAACTTCACAGAATGGAATAAGGGGAAATGGCCGGAAATGACCTTCGTGGCTGTATGGAAAATTTCACCCCCTCAACCATCGTCGACCGACGAAGCATAAGGACAGTCTGACCGAATGCCCACTGGTGGAACCACGATGAACTATGGCAAGTTTCTCAAGGCTTCCCACAGCCACTGATGTGAAACCATGGCGAAAGAAACCGGGTTGGGTGGGTTTCGTTGAATTGATTGAACACTGCAGTTATACAAGTAGCAACTGAACAGTAAGTTTTGGCCCCGATCAGATGCACATAAATATGGTTGCAAGCATTTACAAAGCCTCTTCCTCACGATAGAATGGTCAAGCGAGTTCCCTGCGCGGCGCTCTTGAGGGGATTTCTATCTGTCTGTGTGGCTGAAATGGCCCAGTGGGGAGGAAAGGACTCATGGCCAAGCCTCTCAAGGGAAAAAGTGGACTGTGGCTACGTTTTCAAATAAAACATATCTATAAATAATTTATGCCACCAACAGCACAGTTTTACAAAATCTGACTAGGTACATCTAAGAGATGTAAGTATACTGAAAGTATAATGACCATTAATGACCAATGAATATAATAGTTCCAAAGAGGGCCCTGGCCTAGAGTCCGGCCGCCTTCGAGCACCCACTTTTTCTTCTGCAGTAGCCAAATAGAAGCCAAACATCTAAGTAAAATGGCTACCTCAACAACTACCATAGCAAAATAGGATCGAAAATGGTGCGCATGGTAGCACCAGCGACTCTAAAGAGGACACCGGGATGACATGGATGCCGACTTATTAAAAGCTTCCACTTCGTGGCCAAAGCTCATGCAGCATCCACGTTTCCTCAGGCCTTATCAGCGATGCATCAAGCGGGCTTCCATGAAATGAAAAAGGATGTGCTCCTTTCTTTTTGGTAAGATCAAAGCCTCTTAAACAAAATGACATTTGTTTGGCATCGAACTTTGCACGATTTCGAAAAACTTTTTAGCCCACATCCATGCGAAATGACATCATTTCAACGTGCAACATGCAAATAGGCAACTGGTCACTTACCATGGTCTAAGTGAACCCATCGCATTTTATCTACACGGTCGCTAGGAAACATTGTGAAAATCAACATAATCAACCAGCTATTTCACTATTTCGAATTTCAATGGGATGATTTTGCCTTTATGGACTCCTAGCCGTCCTAGCCAACACCCTGAGGACTCGCTCCTCGCGCGAAAAATCACAAAGTGCCAGAAGCCGAACTTGCAGAAGCCCTGCGGCCAGAACCACACTCTCAATGTGCCAATGTGCCATGATGAGGGCAGAAATACATCAAAATCCATGGATACAGTCATGATACATGGATGTGTCTGAAAATAGAGCACCCTATTTTCAAATGGCCTGCTTTGAAAAACGAAAAAAAAATCACCCATTCAAACAGCCATTCAATGTGGCATTTTGGCATCTCGCTTTAGATGGAAGCCCAGCATTGCAAAGTCTGTGCAGACCTCCACTGACTTAGCACAAAGAAATGATAAGAAATTGTTGCGCAAATTGAAGAAACTGAAGTCATTGCACCAATTCAAATATTTGTTCAATCTAAGAATGCAAGCTCGAAGTTTGGCCTCAAAATGTGTCCTTTCCTTCGCCCGCAGACTGTACAATTTTCTGTCTCCTTGCCAGGTGTGACAAAGCCCGACTTGTGTTTATCGAGTTGCTTGAAAAACAGCCGAGTTCAGACATCATACCTGGCTGAGTGATGATAGGTTTGATAGTTAGTAGGTCCACTTATATAGTAGGCCCTTAAGGGTCAATTTTAATTTGCTACCGCAACAGCGTGTCTCATTATGACCCTGTGGGATTGACCTCTGCGGCCTGTCCGCCATAGCCCGCCCGACAGCCCGGGTCCAGCGAGTTCTTTTTGGCGCACACTCGGCACGTCCACTCCACTTGCAACTCGCTCAGCAAATGGCTTCGGCCCTCTGTCTTGGCGATGTCATGAGGTGTGGCGCCTCGGAAGCCATACCATGCCATACCCAAACCACGAAGGTCTGATGGGCAAATTGTTTGGTATTATGGATAGCCGCAACAGGACCCAGCATTTCAGTGCTTCAATTGGTCAACAGGTTGCACAGGTGAACAAGGACGATTCTGTCTTGGCAAACATATGAATAGGATTTTGGATGATTTTGGTCATGCGGCGATGGTTGCAGGGCTATTTATTGTAGACCCATGCGGATGTGAAAATAGCCGAGGTGCCAAAGTGCGTTTTGGCATGCCGACAATTAGCATTCGCTGACAACAACATAAGCACCAGCATCGCATCACCCCCACGAGCTGCAAAGTGCAGCGGGGTCCAACCTCGAAAGTTTGGAGTCTGCAGAACGAGAAGTGCAATGGTACCCTCCTCTTGTCAAACTTTGGCAATGGAAAATCAATACATCAGAATGGTCTTTCCGTCCGCAAATGCTTCAATGTCCTTTGGCATGCTAAACACGCAAAGCTAATTTTGGAGAGCAGTCTTTGATGCCTGAAGCAAATTGATGTTCGGCTCCCAGAGGATACAGAGTTCATTAATTGGCGGAAAATTGCTGGGACTTCAAGGCCAGAACCTTTTGGAACGAAATGTGTGTGTGTGTAATTGCTTGGAATGACTACGACAAGACAATTGGTATCCCCGTACTAAAATTAACCAGGGGTTTGTTGCTCTTGGGTTAGCATTCTTCTGGCCTAAACAAGTCTAACATAGTTCCAGCTGACATGAAGGTAAGGCCACTGCCAACCATGTCAACAGCTTCCACATCAGCAGATGCTGCAATCAGTTGAGCGACAACCTGGCGGCCACTGGGCTGGAGCTCAGCTCGGCTTTCACCAAGATGTGCCCAGATCAGCACTGGGCAACTCGCCTTCCTGTGACCATTGGCGCATGCCTCATGCAAGGCTGTGCGGCCTCGGAAAGCCGGTTTTTCATGGTTTTTCGCACCTGTGAAGAAGCCACTTTCATCCACTTTCGGGGTCATTTGGTGTTGACCCAATTGAATCCAATTGACCCATCCCATCTTCAATCGCAAATTGTTGCGATTACCGCAAGGACCTGGTAGGATCTGGTAGGCCTGTTGAGTCTTCACATGGTCGACCCAATGAGGCATGGTGGCATGGCGCAGGGCGCGACTGAGATCGGGACCTCCACGACCGTGCTCTTCACACTTTGGGAATCAGCACGAAGGAACTGCTGCACAAGGCCTTCGTGCCCTCTCTGGGCGGCTTCCAGCAGATTAGAGCCTTGGACCATCCGGCGAAATAAGTGTGACAAGTGTTACAAAGACCGAGTCATACTGAGGGAAGGAATGTGTGGGTGGAGGCTTGTTTTATCTGCTCCCATTGTTGAATCGTCAGTAAACCTGAGAGAAGCTGAGAAGGTGGGAATTAAAGCCAGATAAAGATTCAAGAGGAAAAATGTATGAGGAAAAGGGGAAGAAGATGAGACAAAGGGCTGAAGGGGGGCACCCATCGAGAGCAACAGTGAGCAACCAATGCTTCAATTGTGCAGCCTTTGATCACACGAATGCAGGGACACTTGTCACTGTTCTTCTATTGCTTGGCTCCCAAAGAAAGAGCAACCAAGAATACACGCGCATACACGCACCCCTACAGCAAAAAAGCCCGTCTAACCTCGCAACCAGATGCATCCAGTCCATCATGAAACTGGATGCGACTTGCTTGTCTTGCGGCTCCTCAGTTTTCAATCCAATCGCACCTTTTTCTGTCGCATCCAGTCCACACTCCTTTCTGTCACTCTATAACTCTTTGGACAAACTACAGAGAGCCCCGACCTCCAAAAACCAGGTTCGTTTCCAACCTCTTTCAAATCGAGGCTCCTTCCTTTGCACGCTAAAAAACCACCTCCAAGTGGCCCTACAAACTCAAAACAGCGACAGACCAGGCAAGCATCAATACCCTGCCTTCACCCAATTAAATCAATTAACTCCTGACAAGCCTGACAAGCCTGATACCCTCACAGTTCAAACATGTTCAAACATGGCACCCTAATCACCAGCCAAGTTTTTTTTGTGTGGCCCTTCGAACTGAGATGTCAACATTGGCTGTCCAACTCATCTGCCTTTACAAAGAATGGCCATGGCACGTCGACTTTCTTCAAATTGAATGCATAAGAAAAATCATAATTACATAGATATCATAGATATCATAGATATCATCTGTAGATAATGATAGATATAGATAGATAGTAGATACCAAGCGATTCTGTTGAAGTCAGCAAAAAGACCTAAGGAGATTAGCTGTCCGCCAGCCTGCGGTCCATCGGTGTTGACATCGCTCATGAAGTTCTGGCAAAAATCAACCCGTTTTGAAGGCCCAAAAAAAAGTTGAAAAACACTGGGGGAAAAACAATTGCTTGGAAACTCACTTCCGGGCAATGTGACTGTAGAATACTGTAGACATGTATCATATTTCCATATCTCTGAGTGCGTGTGCAGGAAATTGGGCACCAATCTGAAGGCCTTCAAGCATTAAAATAATTCTCTCAAGCTTTTCAACTATGCATCACTTAATAACTTAATATAGTTTGCAAGCACAGCATGATCGCACAACTTCGGCAGCATATGGCTGCACCAAAATGAGCGGCTGACAGAGCATTGTCGACAAACAGCATGGTCGCAACCTCAATAGCATGATATAGCGTGCATTCAATTTCTTGCATTCTATGTCGCACCGTGAAAGAAAGTGCAGTGGGTTCAGATTCCATGCTCAAAAGAGTTTATGAATGTTTATGAGCATCTTCAATTCTCTTCACGCGAAATCACTGAACCTGAGTGGTCTGAATGGTCTGAATGGTCTGAATGGTCTGAATGGTCTGAATGGTCTGAATGGTGGAATAGCTAATGGATACTCCATCCAAGTTCCCCACGTTCGCAGTATTTCAGCTCGTCCCCCATTTGGATATCAACTCCACAAACCTAGGCTAGGCATGGCTTGGCATGGCTTGGCATGGCTTGGCATGGCTTGGCATGGCTTGGCATGGCTAAGCCAAATCATCTAGGTGGCATTTCAAAATTTTCAAATACACTGCGCCTGGTTTGAGTATCTCCACAGAAATAAAAAGGCTTCCCAATTGCCAACTTCGCCATGCAACATCGCATTCGTAGGCTTGGTCAGCTTGTCTTGACTCCAGTGCGTGCCTTGCAAAATTGACGGATCTGTCGACTCCGCTTGAACTAAAGAACTGAAGAAGTCGCATTGGATTGAGTTCATTGAGTTCAGTGCTCAGCAGGACATTTGAGAGTGTCCTTAAAAGCCAAAGCTTATGGCAAGTTGGCATTTGCTCATCAAGAATCAGCCAATTCTGTACCTCATGCCAGTGCCAGTAACATGTAAAGTTTGCGTACGCTGAGTCCGGGACTTGCGTTCTCGGAGCACTTTCGACATTCCGCGCCTGCTTTGGAAATCATCGATTTTACACTTCTGACCGTCTGCACGGAAAACATGCCTCACCCTGCAGGAGTGTGAACTTAGAGGTTTGGTACAGGATACATTTGGAGATAAGTGCGAGGAAATATCCCAAGAAAATGTTGCGATATGTTGCGATTTTCTATGGCCCCGTACCTCCGTAAACACGCCAGAGCTGGCAGTCAGGACGACCTTGCAACAGACTGAAATACATCGTACGTGTGACTCATACCGAGTTGGGGAAGGTCCTGGAAGGGCAAGGCGCTAGTTTTGAGATGCTTTGAGGATGTTGTGACAGGGATATGTTGGGATTGTCTTGTCATATGCTCAACCGCTTGCGAGGAGATACAATGCGACCATCCAAACTGCACTGGGGAAGGAGCAAAGTAGAGTCTGTTCTCTCAAGCTTTTCAACTATGCATCACTTAATAACTTAATATAGTTTGCAAGCACAGCATGATCGCACAACTTCGTCAGCATATGGCTGCACCAAAATGAGCGGCTGACAGAGCATTGTCGACAAACAGCATGGTCGCAACCTCAATAGCATGATATAGCGTGCATTCAATTTCTTGCATTCTATGTCGCACCGTGAAAGAAAGTGCAGTGAGTTCAGATTCCAAGCATGCTCAAAAGATTTTTTGAATGTTTATGAGCATCTTCAATTCTCTTCACGCGAAATCACTGAACCTGAGTGGTCTGAATGGTCTGAATGGTCTGAATGGTCTGAATGGTGGAATAGCTAATGGATACTCCATCCAAGTTCCCCACGTTCGCAGTATTTCAGCTCGTCCCCCATTTGGATATCAACTCCACAAACCTAGGCTAGGCATGGCTTGGCATGGCTTGGCATGGCTTGGCATGGCTTGGCATGGCTTGGCATGGCTAAGCCAAATCATCTAGGTGGCATTTCAAAATTTTCAAATACACTGCGCCTGGTTTGAGTATCTCCACAGAAATAAAAAGGCTTCCCAATTGCCAACTTCGCCATGCAACATCGCATTCGTAGGCTTGGTCAGCTTGTCTTGACTCCAGTGCGTGCCTTGCAAAATTGACGGATCTGTCGACTCCGCTTGAACTAAAGAACTGAAGAAGTCGCATTGGATTGAGTTCATTGAGTTCAGTGCTCAGCAGGACATTTGAGAGTGTCCTTAAAAGCCAAAGCTTATGGCAAGTTGGCATTTGCTCATCAAGAATCAGCCAATTCTGTACCTCATGCCAGTGCCAGTAACATGTAAAGTTTGCGTACGCTGAGTCCGGGACTTGCGTTCTCGGAGCACTTTCGACATTCCGCGCCTGCTTTGGAAATCATCGATTTTACACTTCTGACCGTCTGCACGGAAAACATGCCTCACCCTGCAGGAGTGTGAACTTAGAGGTTTGGTACAGGATACATTTGGAGATAAGTGCGAGGAAAGATCCCAAGAAAATGTTGCGATATGTTGCGATTTTCTATGGCCCCGTACCTCCGCAAACACGCCAGAGCTGGCAGTCAGGACGACCTTGCAACAGACTGAAATACATCGTACGTGTGACTCATACTGAGTTGGGGAAGGTCCTGGAAGGGCAAGGCACTAGTTTTGAGATGTTTTGAGGATGTTGTGACAGGGATATGTTGGGATTGTCTTGTCATATGCTCAACCGCTTGCGAGGAGATACAATGCGACCATCCAAACTGCACTGGGGAAGGAGCAAAGTAGAGTCTGTTCTCTCAAGCTTTTCAACTATGCATCACTTAATAACTTAATATAGTTTGCAAGCACAGCATGATCGCACAACTTCGTCAGCATATGGCTGCACCAAAATGAGCGGCTGACAGAGCATTGTCGACAAACAGCATGGTCGCAACCTCAATAGCATGATATAGCGTGCATTCAATTTCTTGCATTCTATGTCGCACCGTGAAAGAAAGTGCAGTGAGTTCAGATTCCATGCTCAAAAGAGTTTATGAATGTTTATGAGCATCTTCAATTCTCTTCACGCGAAATCACTGAACCTGAGTGGTCTGAATGGTCTGAATGGTCTGAATGGTCTGAATGGTCTGAATGGTCTGAATGGTGGAATAGCTAATGGATACTCCATCCAAGTTCCCCACGTTCGCAGTATTTCAGCTCGTCCCCCATTTGGATATCAACTCCACAAACCTAGGCTAGGCATGGCTTGGCATGGCTTGGCATGGCTTGGCATGGCTTGGCATGGCTTGGCATGGCTAAGCCAAATCATCTAGGTGGCATTTCAAAATTTTCAAATACACTGCGCCTGGTTTGAGTATCTCCACAGAAATAAAAAGGCTTCCCAATTGCCAACTTCGCCATGCAACATCGCATTCGTAGGCTTGGTCAGCTTGTCTTGACTCCAGTGCGTGCCTTGCAAAATTGACGGATCTGTCGACTCCGCTTGAACTAAAGAACTGAAGAAGTCGCATTGGATTGAGTTCATTGAGTTCAGTGCTCAGCAGGACATTTGAGAGTGTCCTCGCAAAGTACGGCAAGATGTGCAGCTATCTCAAGACAAAAAGGGAAAGCCGGCTCTCTGGGGTATCCGGTGTGACCAATAGGTCCTGTTTTACTGTCACATTTGCTCATTGGAACACACACGCACACAAATTCAAAAGACAAAACTCAATCGGATCAAGTTGATCGCGCAACAATAACGCGCAAGGTCCACAAAGACTTGGCGAAATCAAAGACTTGGCAAATCAGTTTCACAAAGAAAAACAAGGTGTATTGGTGCATTGTCTACTCAGAGCTTCGCTTGTCACGTCAGCCCCGTCTACCGAAGGCTAAAGGGAGGTAAGAAAAAAAGAGTGCTATTTCAAACACATTTCACCAGTTTTCAAACACAGAGAGCCTCTGAGGCATGATGTTCTCATGATACAAAAGCATTCCGGGGAAAAAAAACTCCGTGATGTTTGAAGACATCTCATCCTCCATCCGCGTATCTCGAGTCGGCTCCACCAAACCCGCAAAGCTGACCTTCGTATAGAACAAATTTGGCGGTGAACGAAGGAAGGTGAACGAAGGTTGTTTGAGTTGAGAAAGTACAACCAACAAACTGAGTTCGCTGCCGATCCAAGGATCTCGACAGTAAACTCAGATTCCTGAAACTTGATGGACTTGATCAGCAACGAAACGACTTTTTGAAATTCCATTCTTTTGCAAAAATATGAAAAAAAACAGAAACTATGATCCGAGTCGCACCAAGTTGTGAAGTTTTTTGTCGTCGTTTGATACTTTCGTGATCTCGGGAGCCAGACTGTTTGACGAACAACACGTCGCAATTCCTGACTCTCTCCAACCTGGTTGTGCAATCACGAAATCTGTGTCAACTCCGTACGTCCAATGGCAAACAGTACTATAAGTGTGGGCAAGGGTCAAAGGTGGGTAGCAAAAAGTTGAATGCTCAGTATTGAAAATGACCAAATGACCACACAAAAAAGGTGTCTCAAGACTTATACAACCCTGACCCCAGGTTTGCTCCACAACGGCATCAACCGTGTCCATCCTTGCCTGGAAGGGCCCTACAAGGATGCCATCGACTTCCAAAAGCCTCCCAGTGAAGCATGAACATTGCAGTGTTTCGCAGAGATGACAAGTGACAAGTGATGAATCTCAACATCTTTGGATGCTTTGAGGAAATGAATCTTTAAAGTCTCACCACTCTTTCTGCAATTTGTGAAAGAATTCCTCTGGAAAGCTGAAGCATCGGGCCTGTAAAGAAATTTGGATCTGGAGTTGGCGCACGCGCCGATGTAAATCCGGTCGTAACCTCTGCATTTGGGATCTCAACGGGGCCGACATGGCCCCTGAATCACATTGATGTTCAATGTTGTTGAATGGTGTTTAATCATGTTTAATGGTGTTTAATGGTGTTTAATGGTGATTACTGGTGTTTAATGGTGCTTAATAGTGTTTAATGGTGTTTAATGGTGTTTAATGGTGTTTAATGGTGTTTAATGGTGTTTAATGGTGATTACTGGTGTTTAATGGTGCTTACTGGTGTTTAATGGTGTTTAATGGTGTTTAATGGTGTTGAAAGATGTTTACTAGAGTTTAATGGTGTTTAATGGTGTTTAATGGTGTTTAATGGTGTTTACTGGTGTTTAATGGTGTTTACTGGTGTTTAATGGTGTTTAATGGTGTTCTGGTGTTTAATGGTGTTTAATGGTGTTTAATGGTGTTTAATGGTGTTTAATGGTGTTTACTGATGTTTAATAGTATTTAATGGTGTTTAATGGTGTTTACTGGTGTTTAATGGCGTTTAATGGTGCTTAATGGTGTTTAATAGTGTTTAATGGTGTTTACTGGTGTTAATGGTGTTTACTGGTCTTTAATGGTGTTTAATGGTGTTTACTGGTGTTTAAAGGTGTTTAATCGTGTTTAATAGTATTTAATGGTGTTTAATGCTGTGTACTGGTGTTTACTGGTGTTAATGGTGTTCAATGGTCTTTAAGGGTGTTTAATGGTGTTTACTGGTGTTTAATGGTGTTTAATAGTATTTAATGGTGTTTAGTGGTGTTTAATGGTGTTTACTGGCGCTTAATGGTGTTTAATGGTGTTTAATAGCGTTCAATGGTGTTTAATGGTGTTTACTTGTGTTTAATGGTGTTTAATGGTGTTTACTGGTGTTTAATGGTGTTTAATGGTGTTTAATTGTGTTTACTGATGTTTAATAGTATTTAATGGTGTTTAATGGTGTTTACTGGTGTTTAATGGCGTTTAATGGTGCTTAATGGTGTTTAATAGTGTTTAATGGTGTTTACTGGTGTTAATGGTGTTTACTGGTCTTTAATGGTGTTTAATGGTGTTTACTGGTGTTTAAAGGTGTTTAATGGTGTTTAATAGTATTTAATGGTGTTTAATGGTGCTTACTGGTGTTTAATGGTGTTTAATGGTGTTTAACGGTGTTTAATGGTAATTAGTGGTGTTTAATGTTGTTAATGGTGTTTACTGGTGTTTAATGGTGTTTAATGGTGTTTAATGCTGTTTGATGGTGTTTAATGGTGTTTAATGCTGTTTGATGCTGTTTAATGGTGTTCTGGTGTTTACTGGTGTTTAATGGTGTTTACTCGTGTTTCATGGTATTTAATGGTGTTTAATGGTGTTTAATGGTGTTTAATGGTGTTTACTGGTGTTTACTGGTGTTTAATGGTGCTTACTGGTGTTTAATGGTGTTTAATGGTGTCGAAAGATGTCTACTAGAGTTCAATGGTGTTTACTGGTGTTTAATGGTGTTTACTCGTGTTTAATGGTGTTTAATGGTGCTCTGGTGTTTAATTGTGTTTAATGGTGTTTAATGATGTTTAATGGTGTTTACTGGTGTTTCATGGTGTTTAATGGTGTTTAATGGTGTTTAATGGTGCTTAATGGTGTTTAGTGGTGTTTACTAGTGCTTAATAGTGTTTACTGGTGTTTACTGGTGTTTAATGGTATTTAATGGTGTTTAATGGTGTATAATGGTGTTTAATGGTGTTTACTGGTGTTCAATGGTGTTTAATGGTGCTTACCAATGTTTAATGGTGTTTAATGGTGTTCAATGGTGTTTAATGGTGTTTACTGGTGTTTACTGGTGTTTAATGGTGTTTAATGGTGTTTACTGGTGTTAATGGTGTTCAATGGTCTTTCAGGGTGTTTAATGGTGTTTACTGGTGTTTAATGGTGTTTAATGGTGTTTAATCGTATTTAATGGTGTTTAATGGTGCTTACTGGTGTTTACTGGCGCGTAATGGTGTTTAATGGTGTTTAATAGCGTTCAATGGTGTTTAATGGTGTTTACTGGTGTTTAATGGTGTTTAATGGT